CAATGATCCCAAACACACCGCCCGGGCAACGAAGGAGTGGCTTCGTAAGAAGCATTTCAAGGTCCTGGAGTGGCCTAGCCAGTCTCCAGATCTCAACCCCATAGAAAATCTTTGGAGGGAGTTGAAAGTCCGTGTTGCCCAGGGACAGCCCCAAAACATCACTGCTCTAGAGGAGATCTGCATGGAGGAATGGGCCAAAATACCAGCAACAGTGTGTGAAAACCTTGTGAAGACTTACAGAAAACGTTTGACCTGTGTCATTGCCAACAAAGGGTATATAACAAAGTATTGAGAAACTTTTGTTATTGACCAAATACTTATTTTCCACCATAATTTGCAAATAAATTCATTAAAAATCCTACAATGTGATTTTCTGGAGAAAAAAAAATCTCAATTTGTCTGTCATAGTTGACGTGTACCTATGATGAAAATGACAGGCCTCTCTCATCTTTTTAAGTGGGAGAACTTGCACAATTGTTGGCTGACTAAATACTTTTTTTCCCCACTGTATGTACATTGCATAATGTGAAAGCAGATCAAGCAAAATACTATGGTAATACTGCACGTGGTGAGGGACAGGGTCACAATGAAGCCGACTGCTCATGTAAAGTCATAAAGAAAACCAAAACATGGGATTAAACAACTCGCAAGAAATCACTCTACAGTATAGTAGAATTAACTTAGTTAAAGGGATATTTTTATCGCTTTGCATGTGGTTTGAAGAAGGTTGCTAACTAGCACTAGTGCAATTGCTAACTAGAGTTAGCATGCTAGCAGAAACCATAGACTTACAGTCATTGTGCTAACACTAGTTAGAGGTAGTTTCGCGAGCAAATGCTAACTTCCTTTATACTGGACACAGAGACATAAAAATGGTATCCACAAGTTCGTCTTCCTCTGGGGAAGTGGATAAAGGGCCTCATTGCCAAAATCCCGAAGTATCCCTTTAAGGAATATAATTTTTATCCGCTGCATTTTGATTATCCCACTCCCAGACAGTCTTGATATTTGTATAACAAATTTAGAAAAAAAATCCACGAGTCTATTTTGGATTCCTTTTGAAGCAACTTTTATTATTTTCTCTCATCTGAATTCTGAACAGTTGGCGGTGTGTTCAGGTGTGAGTAATAGGCCAAGCCAATAGGCTTACCTGTACTGATCCAAATGGTATTTTTTGGATTGAGCATGGCTTGTGTTTAAGATACAGAATGGATCTTTTACTTTTTAAATAAGTAAAAAAGAGAACTAGTGTAAATGCATTTAGCAATGCAAAGAACCAACCTCTACCAGAGGCTTCGGTCAAATTGTATCACCTTGCAGCTATGTAGATTATGTTGAGCACTAGCAGTTTTGATTTGAGGGAAATGTTATTTGATGTGAAACATTAGGGCTGTGACGATACCAGTATCACAGTATTTTTTCTATGGCAAAAATGAAAACCTGTTGCAGACAACTCTTTGGTCCTTTAAACTCCTGCTGTACTCAGGGCTTTTACTTGCAACATATAGTTAAATGCACTTAAGAGGAACAATGGGTAGATATTGAAAATGCGAATGCTGATCCCCAGAATCTTTTCACATGTCTGACCATTAACTGATCGTGGTTTTTCAGATCCCTTAACAATACAGTTTGCAGGTCCATCTGAACCCTGATATTATGACAACCATTCCTGGACCTGACTCCAAAAGCAAGCCACCGATGGACAGTACCAGAAAATATGTTCTATTGATTCTGTTTCCTCGTGGCAGAGTCTGCACAAGGCTGACTGTTCAGTGCCCAATATATTGAGCATTCGTTTTGTAGCAAGTATCTTATATAACAGCTTAAATTGAAACGAACAGATTGATGTAATTGTTGTTTTATACAGTGGGGAAAAAAAGTATTTAGTCAGCCACCAATTGTGCAAGTTCTCCCACTTAAAAAGATGAGAGAGGCCTGTAATTTTCATCATAGGTACACGTCAACTATGACATACAAAATGAGAAAAAACATCCAGAAAATCACATTGTAGGATTTTTAATGAATTTATTTGCAAATTATGGTGGAAAATAAGTATTTGGTCAATAACAAAAGTTTCTCAATACTTTGTTATATACCCTTTGTTGGCAATGACACAGGTCAAACGTTTTCTGTAAGTCTTCACAAGGTTTTCACACACTGTTGCTGGTATTTTGGCCCATTCCTCCATGCAGATCTCCTCTAGAGCAGTGATGTTTTGGGGCTGTCGCTGGGCAACACGGACTTTCAACTCCCTCCAAAGATTTTCTATGGGGTTGAGATCTGGAGACTGGCTAGGCCACTCCAGGACCTTAAAATGCTTCTTACGAAGCCACTCCTTCGTTGCTCGGGCGGTGTGTTTGGGATCATTGTCATGCTGAAAGACCCAGCCACGTTTCATCTTCAATGCCCTTGCTGATGGAAGGAGGTTTTCACTCAAAATCTCACGATACATGGCCCCATTCATTCTTTCCTTTACACAGATCAGTCGTCCTGGTCCCTTTGCAGAAAAACAGCCCCAAAGCATGATGTTTCAACCCCCATGCTTCACAGTAGGTATGGTGTTCTTTGGATGCAACTCAGCATTCTTTGTCCTCCAAACACGACGAGTTGAGTTTTTACCAAAAAGTTATATTTTGGTTTCATCTGACCATATGACATTCTCCCAATCCTCTTCTGGATCATCCAAATGCACTCTAGCAAACTTCAGACGGGCCTGGACATGTACTGGCTTAAGCAGGGGGACACGTCTGCACTGCAGGATTTGAGTCCCTGGCGGCGTAGTGTGTTACTGATGGTAGGCTTTGTTACTTTGGTCCCAGCTCTCTGCAGGTCATTCACTAGGTCCCCCCGTGTGGTTGTGGGATTTTTGCTCACCGTTCTTGTGATCATTTTGACCCCACGGGGTGAGATCTTGCGTGGAGCCCCAGATCGAGGGAGATTATCAGTGGTCTTGTATGTCTTCCATTTCCTAATAATTGCTCCCACAGTTGATTTCTTCAAACCAAGCTGCTTACCTATTGCAGATTCAGTCTTCCCAGCCTGGTGCAGGTCTACAATTTTGTTTCTGGTGTCCTTTGACAGCTCTTTGGTCTTGGCCATAGTGGAGTTTGGAGTGTGACTGTTTGAGGTTGTGGACAGGTGTCTTTTATACTGATAACAAGTTCAAACAGGTGCCATTAATACAGGTAACGAGTGGAGGACAGAGGAGCCTCTTAAAGAAGAAGTTACAGGTCTGTGAGAGCCAGAAATCTTGCTTGTTTGTTATTGACCAAATACTTATTTTCCACCATCATTTGCAAATAAATTCATAAAAAATCCTACAATGTGATTTTCTGGATTTTTTTTTCTCAGTTTGTCTGTCATAGTTGACGTGTACCTATGATGAAAATTACAGGCGTCTCTCATCCTTTTAAGTGGGAGAACTTGCACAATTGGTGGCTGACTAAATACTTTTTTTCCCCACTGTATGTCAGTTCATAGACCCGATGCCAAGGTAAAAAACCTGTTCCCAACTGACTTGAATTTTATACGGTATTGCTGTCAAACCTTTTGACTTTAAGTGAAACTGACACATTTTTCGATTTATACTAATCATTTTAAGCCATTTATGATTTTTATTGGGAGGCAGACAGACTAATTGTCTCTTCCAATTTTGTGGCAGAATAGCGATGAGTTGGTTATAATTTTGTGTTGAGCATACACCTCCATTGAGACTGTCTTCACACTGGTGCGCATTTACATTTTACATTTTAGTCATTTAGCAGACGCTCTTATCCAGAGCGACTTACAGTTAGTGAGTGCATACATTTTTCATACTGGCCCCCCGTGGGAATCGAACCCACAACCCTGGCGTTGCAAGCGCCATGCTCTACCAACTGAGCTACTGACTACATGGATTAATATTAGGAATATATTTCATGAGATTACTATAAAGAACTTGGTTCTATGGGACCATGCCTTATGTATTAAACTGTTGTTCTGTATGAAAAAAGTATGAAAATGTATGCACTCACTAACTGTAAGTCGCTCTGGATAAGAGCGTCTGCTAAATGACTAAAATGTAAATGTAATGTTCTGGGAAAAAGTGAGGGTTTTAGATTGTTATTTATAGGCTTGCTGCTGGTTTGGGGCCCTTGGAGTGCTCAGGGATTTCTGTGCCATGCTCTTTGGCAGTGAAATCGTCTGCTCTCATTGACCAGCCATACAGAGAGTGGTAATCCAGACGTGCAAACTGCTGCAATATAATTCCTGCCCGGAGGTTTGCATTGGCTGGCAGCTCGGTGGATGCATTTATTTATTTATTTATTTATTTATTTCCCCTTACGGGACATGGCTGCGTGCTGTCAGCGGGTGACAGGGCATACATATATACACCCATGTGAATGAAATGCAAATGGGGTGCTAGATGGAGGATCTTTTGGGAGATGGAGAGGGTATGTTGTGAGGATGGTAAGGTGTGTGTGTGTGTGTGTGTGTGTGTGTGTGAGATGATGATGATGATGGGGGGCTCTGGGTGTTAATGGCCAGAGGACTAAGCCTCCGTGGGGATTATGGGAAAATGGGGCGGGGTGCATACATGATCTGTCAGGGCTTAGTACCACAATTATCCCGGCGGCAGCAGCAGCGTTTTCATTAGTGTAATGTTTAGAGATCTTCAGAATTGTGTAAGAGTGACTTGCTGTCATCCCATCAGGGCCTGCCCACCGCCCGTAACGTGGCTGTAGTTGTCCATTTCATTTCTCTGAGGGGGAAAAGACATCTGTCAGAGACGACGGTAGGGGACACGGGGCTTGTTATCGCGACTGTAGTAGCTAGGGTTCAGTGTAGTGTGTGTGTGTGTGTGTGATGGCAGTGAGCACAGTGGTGGGAGAGAGGGTTGGTACTCAGGGCTTCATTTAGAATATTGCGGAGGGAAGTGAGTTATGTTAGTGGAGCCGTTGTGAGTAGCATGGGGTGTATGTAATACAGTTGTAAGTGAAGAAACAACTGAGGGCTCAAAGATGAAGTTTAAGAAGTTCATTACCATCATGCAGGCGGCCATGGGGATCGTCCCCCTCAACAAACGAGAGCTCCTACCGCCTGGGAGGAAACTATGGAAACCCCCAGGGTGAGTGAAGCGGATGTGTGGCGTATGAGCGTGTTTGCGTGAAATGAATGTGGGTCTAGTGTCTATAGTATGTAGCCTAACTCTGCTGGATTCAAGTACAAGCATCTACTGCACCTCTGAAATAGTTGAATCATTTGCACTACAAATAATCAGTTGTGTGTGTCAGAATGTCTCTAGGCGATTCACAACCATGATTTGTAATGTATAGATGTTTCAGCTTTGTTCACCAGATGGTACTAGCCTACATGCTACAGCATGAGCATGTCTGTTGTCATGAGTTACAGCTCAGGTCAAAGAGCTTTGAGTTGACTATAGATGCACAGCAGATGAATGTAGCAGAGATCCTGTGAGCAGCATGGCTCTCCTTAGCTGACCCAGTCCAGTCATCACCGGATCAATTCTCAGATTCATTATGGAACCGTTCTTTAGTCTATGGACACAACTTGTTATTTGCAGCGTATTGCCACAGTCAGGTGGTTACTTTTCAACGAAGCTCCTTAAAGGTTTCTCTGTGTGTGTGAGTATTTATCAATCAATCACATTTATTTATAAAGCCCTTTTTACATCAGCAGATGTCACAAAGTTCTATGTGATCCCTCACCCACTTTGAGGTTGATGTTGTAGATCAGTTATTCACTATGCACAACAATGGTTTTATTCATTCTCCCAAGATCCATGGATTCCAGTATTCTCAGTTTGGAGATTTCCTAATCGTGTAGTCTCATATGCTGATAGAAGCTTGCCTATAGTTTCCCTGCACAGCTAAACACTGCTAGAGTCAGGGCATTGGGAGTTAGTTGGAAAGGAAAAGGCAAACACCACGAGCTGAGCATTTGGTCAAAGCAATCACTTATTTACACTGAACAAAGATATGAACGCAACATACACCAATTTCAAAGATTTTGCTGAGTTACAGTTCATATAAGGAAAGCAGTCAATTGAAATGAATTCATTAGGCACTAATCTGTGGATTTCACATGACTGGGTATACAGATTTGCATCTGTAGGTCACAGATACCTTTAAAAAAAAAAAAGTAGGGGCATGGATTTAAAAACCAGTCAGTATCTGGTGTGACCACCGTTTGCCTCATGCAGTGCGCCACATCTCCTTCGCATAGAGTTGATCAGGCTGTTGATTGTGGCCTGTGGAATGTTGTTACACTCCTCTTCAATGGCTGTGCAAAGTTGCTAGATATTGTCGGGAACTGAAACTGTCGTAAACGTCGATCCAGAGCATCCCAAACATGCTCAATGGGTGACATGTCTGGTGAGTATGCAGCCATGGAAGAACTGGGACATTTTCAGCTTCCAGGAATTGTGTACAGATCCTTGTGAAATGGGGCCGTGCATTGCTGAAACATGAGGTGATGGCGGCGGATGAGTGGCACGACAATGGGCCTCCAGGATCTCGTCACGGTATTTCTGTGCATTCAAATTGCCATCGATAAAATGCAATTGTGTTCGTTGTTCGTAGCTTATGCCTGCCCATACCATAACCGCATAGCCACCATGGGCCACTCTGTTCACAACGTTGACATCAGCAAACCGCTCGCCCACACGACGCCGGACATCTGTCCGGTACAGTTGAAACCGGTATTCATCCGTGAAGAGCACACTTCTCCAGCATGCCAGTGGTCATTGAAGGTGAGCATTTGCCCACTGAAGTCTGTTATGACGCCAAACTGCAGTCAGTTCAAGACCCTGGAATAGGACGACGAGCACGCAGATTAGCTTCCCTGAGACGGTTTCTGACAGTTTGTGCAGAAATTATTATTTTGTGCAAACCCAATTTCATCAGCTGTCTGGGTGGCTGGTCTCAGACGGTCCCGCAGGTGAAGAAGCCGGATGTGGAGGTCCTGGGCTGCGGTTGTGAGGCCTGTTGGAGGACGAACTGCCAAATTCTCTAAAACGACATTGGAGGTGGCTTATGGTAAAGAAATTAGCATTTTAATTCTCTGGTGGGCATTCCTGCAGTCAGCATGCCGATTGCACGCGCCCTCAAAACTTGAGACATCTGTGGCGTTGTGTTGTGTGACACAACTGCACATTTTAGAGTGGTCTTTTATTGACCCCAGCACAAGGTGGATCTGTGCAATGATCATGCTGTTTAATCAGCTTCTTAATATGCCACACCTATCAGGTGGATGGATTATCTTGGCAAAGGAGAAATTCTCACTAACAGTGAGGTAAACAGATTTGTGTAAAACATTTGAGAGAAATAAGCTTTTTGTGCGTATAGGAACATTTGTGGGATCTTTTATTCAGCTCATGAAACATGGGACCAACACCTTACATGTGGCGTTTATATTTTTGTTCAGTGTATTTATTCCTGTTCTGACACGAGGCCAAATGGCAGTAGAGCATATGTTTGGCTCAAATGCAAACAGATTGCAGCTACACTGGGGTCTCCTTATTGTCCCCTCCGCCCTCCTCTACCCTCTTACCAATGCAATCTATTTTTTAATTGTGTATGATTATTATGATTTTTGTATTCAATCAATGGGCAGAATAAACATTGTATTTTTATTTCACCTTTATTTAACCAGGTAAGCCAGTTGAGAACAAGTTCTCATTTACAACTGCGACCTGGCCAAGATAAAGCAAAGCAGTGTGATAAAAACAACAACAACACAGAGTTACATATGGGGTAAAACAAAACAAAGTAAAAAATACAACAGAAAATATATATACAGTGTGTGCAAATGTAGCAAGTTATGGAGGTAAGGCAATAAATAGGCTATAGTGCAAAATAATTACAAATAGTATTAACACTGGAATGATAGATGTGCAAGAGATTATGTGCAAATAGAGAAATGACAAATGCTTTGTCGCCGCACGTCCATATCACGACGTTCAATAATACAGATGTTAATCAATAAAATAAGGTATATTTATAGTACATGTGTAACCAGTGTGATATGGCTAGCTAGTTAGCGTTGCGCATTAGTAGCGTTTAATTTTGTGACGTCACACGCTCTGAGACCTTGAAGTAGTTGTTTCCCTTGCTCTGCAAGGGCCATGGCTTTTGTGCAGCGATTGGTAACGATGCTTCCTGGGAGGAAGTTGTTGTGTTCAGAGGGTCCCTGGTTCGAGCCAATGTTGGGGCAAGGAGAGGAACTGAAGCAACACTAACACATTCACAGACCTACCAAGCAACAGTACATGGAATGCTAATTGGTCCAACATTACAATACAAATAATTGTTCTTAGTTAGTGTGTGTGCGCACGTGCATTAGATTGTGCCTTTGCATGTGCACTCATGTTTGTTTGTCGGTGTATATGCTTGTGACAATGTCCAGGCTTTGTTTACTATGCAGTGGACCGTTATGGAATGGTGTTTGAACCAAAATCTCTCACATTTTAATGTGTCACTCACTTTAATTGCCCTCACCATTATAATTCTCTAATGTGGAATTAAATTAATTTCATACAGTTTCTACCCTTTTCTTCCGAGCTACATTTTACATAGGTTGACAATTACAATCCCTTATACAAAGTTGAACTCTGATCTTAATGTTGAGTAATGGTTATCTAAAGCCCTTTTGTCTCTCCCCACAGGGACACATCCAGTACTGACCAATCCAACACTGACCTGTTCCGATCTAGCTGCTCCTGGGATAGCTTCTACTGGACCAAAGAAGCCCAGTACCTGTGTCTCCGTCGACTCTCTTCACCCAGCTACTCTGCTATTCTGAAGGTACGTCATCATTTCTGCTCACTTTGTGCATGTATCCTTTACCCATCCTATTCTGCCCTAAGACTGTGAGTGTGTGTGGTTGGACGTATGATTTCTACAGTACCATTTTGTGATCTACTCTGTAAACAGGAAATCCAGAGTGGTTTTGGCAGTAGGATATGGTTTAAAAGTCAGTTGGACAATCTCTGCTGGATATCTATTACCTTGAATCGTCCTTTGGTTATTCATGTTCCCCATTCACAAAGTGTATGTATCCAAGGCCTTTGTCCCATAGCCCAATTTGGAAGTTGCTGGTCCACTCACCTCACCCAATGTATATTTAACCAGGAATATTAGGAGATTCAGGCCACCCATCACAACATATTGTTGGTCTGAATGCATGTGCAACTGGAAAGTGCTGTTTTCTCGAGGCTACTAGTAGCACAGTTATCTACTTTACTTTGATGCAATGATATGGAGCTACACTTGATGGCCACATAACTTGACAGCTCTGAATCTGATACTGGAATGACACACACACACGCATGTTCATATTTTTATTCAGCTTTCATTGTTAGACTGAAATACCTGTCCTTTTTACAACACTGAAACTGTACCACTAACAATCATACTGTCCATTTTGGAACTGACTGACTGCCCTGCCTCTGTTATTAAAGTAATCTAGAAGGATCCATTTTTTCAAAACATTTACAGAATTCCCAACAATAATGAATGCATGTTTTATTTTATTGGCTTAAATACTAAATTAACATTTGTTGGGGGCGTTTTTATATATGTTGTTGGTTGTGGTAATGGACTGCGTTTACAGGTCTATGTATTTATTGAGATAAAAAATATCGAGACACTTACCCCCATCTTGAATTGGGACATCCTAATACTGTCGTCTCTTTCGGCGCTCTCTGACTCACTCAACTTACTGGGTTGTTTTACTGAGTCTTTAAAAAACGTTTTAACTCAGTCCCCTCTTCCAGCATTGGGTAACATCCTCCCCCACGTCTATTTCTATGGGCACAAGCACTGTTCATGACAAAGTGTTCACCCCCCTGTTGTTGGCAGGTAGAACATTTGCAGGTAGAACGCTTATTTCCTGCAATTCTACACATTTTGCCATGTGTTATGTGTGTTCTTGTGATATTTGAGTGACTCAAACATTACAATAAAATCAATGGGCTAAAAAACCTAGCAAAATTTTTTTTAGCTGACATGGGTTAGTTGATCTGGATATTTCTGACAAGTTATAAATAGCTCTCTAAGGTCCTAGCCTACTAGTGGTTTTAATGGAGTACTGTAGGTAGAAGTTACCCCTTGAAATCTGTTCCAGTGTATTTGATAGAGTGCATTTGTGCAGTCCATGTAGTGCAGCTAGCTGTACTGCAAGTAGAGGGCGTACTGCTACAACAAGACATTCTAGAGTGGACTAGACTGATGGCTAGGATGGCTACCATGTAGATAAAACCACACCATAATGGGAACTGTATAGAATTGCAGTGCTGGAGTTATAGGCATACCTGGCATGTGTGTATTGTGTAAGGCTTTGTAGCAGATATGTATGGTTGTTTGTGTTGTCTTATTCTAGTGCGTGTGCAGTGTTGTTCTGTTGTTTTGCCTGAGCAAGAATAAAGGATCTGTTCTCCTAAGCCACTTCACATGAAGATAGCGCTGTGGGATTTCAGACATTTCAATCTCATCAGTGAAACTGTGTGTTCTTGCGTAATGCCCTCAGGAGGCCAAGATTCAGCCAGCAGCCCTGCCAGTGAACTAAATGACATCACACAGCAGAGGAAGACACTTTGACTCACTGTGCCGCTGGGCTTGCATGTAGCCTGTTCTCATCACTGCTCAGGAGAGGTAGATGGACAGTAGGAGCAGGCAGACTAGACAGGTGGGGTTGTCTCTGTCCCACCACTAGAAGCTAGTGCCACACTCACTGCCAGCTGGTCAGGTGCATGCTTAAGGGGAGGATTTGTTTAGAGTGGTTCTAGATGCTGTGTTGTGGGAGATGGAGTGTGTGTCTGTTCTGTCATGGTACATTTTTGCATTTAGTAGGCACGTTTTAGTTTGACAACCGATCTTTCAACCGAAATCAAATGTCCCTCAGCTGATCCCCATAGCACTGTCTGTGACTTATGTTCAATAAAACCAATCTTTGTTGGATTTGTTGTTTTTATATGCTGAGAAGTACAATGAATGGGAACATGTTTGGCATCATCCAACAGTACCTCATTGATGAGGTGTGTTTGTGACTTCCATTTTCAGGCCTTCTAACTAGTATCCAGACCGATCACAGTGTTCTCTTCTCTTTTTATCATGGTGCATTTTGCAATATTCTCTCTATCACAGATGTGTGGCAATATCCTCTGTATCACACTTAATCATGAGTGGGTTACAATATACAGTAGTTCTACTAGTTTGTAGAACACCTGTGTCTCAATATAAACTCATTTTATATAGTCATAGCAATAGTCCAGGGGTGTATTCACTAGGAACCAAACAGAAGAAAACAGACCAAATGGGGAGGGGCTAACCTAAACTTGTCCAATAAGAAATGCTTGTTTTCATTGCAAAACCGTTTGCTATGGTGTGCACTAATGAATACACCCTAGTCCTCCCTGACCACTCTTCATCGGTTCTGTCCTGTGAGTTTCAACTTCTAAAAGTGGGCTATGATCTGTCCTCTACCCTACCCTGCCATGTCAGCCAGAGTGATGCCGCTGTTACTATAAGCCTGGGCTGGAGATGTCAGCAGTGCAGGGATTCAGCTCCACTTTGGTCACAAAGTCAATGTTAAAACCTGCACTCAGATTGGCTGTGTGTGTGCTTGCATGTGTGCTTGTGCGTGTGTGTGTGTGTGTGTGGGGGGGGGGGGGGGGGGGGGGGGGGGGGGGGCGCATGTGGTTTTTAAAGCATGTGTGTAAAGCATTTGCTTTTATGTGTGAGGATTGGTTATATCCATTTAAATTCAATCACTTTTTGACAGCATCTCTTTTGATTTAAACCTTCCATACATGTTTGCCCATGGAAGAAGTTACTTTTTGGAACTGAATGCCAAAACATATAATTTAAATGATTACAAACAGTGTTGTCAAACAATTATTTTAATTTTTTGTACAAAACAATTGTCTTCCTAAATTGGTCAATTATCTAAAAACGCGGAAAATCTGATTTTTCTTTTTCATATTCGCATACAGTATGTTGTAGCTTAGACCCCGTTTCACATCTGAGGTTTTTGTGTTGTGCCAGCCATCGGTTGATACACAACATTCTCTTGAATAGAAGGTGTGTCATTTCAAACATAGAAATATAATTCATAGACTGGACCTATCCCTTCAGACCACTGCAAGTTAGCTGGTAGACATTTTAATTGAATAGAAATTGTAACTTCTAATTACTACCAAAAAACTAAGATGACTACTGGTCCACCCACCAAGTGAATGTTAACTTTAAAACATGCCCCTGTACTTTGGTGACTAAGAAATACTTTTTTTTAAACCTCACGCTTTGGGCTGGATGTGTCAATGTGTAGTTCATATATGCATAATCTATGAGCAGAAATACTGTTTTACCTCAATTAGCCACGAAATCCCTAGTTTGAAAGCAACTGTTTTCTTGAAGCTATGCCGTGCAATTTTCCCTACATTTTCCCCCACGTGGGCCAGCCGCCTAGCAATTCGAGTTCAAGCCAATGAGCTTCAGCCCCTCGCATTTGAGTGACAGCTAGCAAGAGGCCTGCCAAGCAATATCCAATGAGGTTGCAGGGCGGGCCCAACATCTGTCGACACAGCAGCGGGAGAGAGCAATGACATGGCGCATATACCTGCACATATGTGATGTTGTACGCAATTTTCAGGGACCACTTTTGGCTTGTGAGTGCTACTTTCAGAACTACTGACTAAAAGGTATACAAAAGTACCAGAGAATATTTTTAAATGGAAGATATTCATGTCTATTCTATTAACTAGATTTCTATGATTTCACATGGTTTCCTATGGAGGATTGACAGTATAATTTAAAACAACAAATATTCCCATTCAAGTCAACATTGTCTGATGTGAGGACCTCCCATCTTTTTGGTACCATTTTGAAAGTTTAAATTTCAATTTGATTCCCATTTTAATGCATTTATCAACCAAAACATGACACCCACCCTGTATTCAAGAGCATGTTGTGTCTCAACCAATGGCAGGCAGAACACGAACACGTTAGATGATGTAAAATAGGGTCTAAGCTACAACGTATGCAAATATGTAAACAGAGTTCATGCGTTTTTAGATAATTGACGTTAAAGGGAAACTTCAATTTTTCAACTTCATATTCATCAACTCCAGCACCACCCCAACATCAACATATGTGACAATTGTGAGTTTCTATGTTTGTAGTAAAAAAACATACGAGAAAGATAAGTGCTTCCAGTGACCTCATCGGTTTGCATCGTGTGATTTTGACCAATTGTGAGTAGCTATTGCTTACTAGTTGCCTGCTAATTGTCTATGAATTGGTTGGTGATGTCATTAGAAACACTTAGATACTTTTGTTTCACTGCAAAACATAGAAACTTACCATTTTCACATGTTGATATTGGGGTGGTGCTGGAGATGAGGAATATGAAGTTGAAATATTGTGAAATCTCCCTTTAAAAATGTTTTTAAAAAATGACAATTGTAAAATAATTATTTTCCATAAATTATAATATAGTTTGACATCCCTGTTTGTAAGCTTTTAAATTATATTAATCTCAACCGTTTATCTTTTCCAGTGATGAAAACATGGTATGGTGGAGTATGCAAAATAGGTAAACTTTGAGCACTTTTATCTCTTGAATATTTTGGCGTTCAGGTCCCAAAAGTCACTTTCTGAGCACTTCTACAATTGGCAAGTTAGGTTTTGTTTAAATCAAAAGGGGTAATGTCAAAAAGTGATTGAATTCAAGTGGATTTACCCTATTTGAGGTAAATGCTTTCACACGTACATTTGCATATCCTCATTCATATACACTACCGGTCAAAAGTTTTAGAACACCTACCCATTCAAGGGTTTTTCTTTATTTGTTTTACTATTTTCTATATTGTAGAATAATAGTGAAGACATCAAAACTATGAAATTAAACATATGGAATCACGTAGTAACCCAAAATATTTATATTTGAGATTCTTCAAATAGCCACCCTTTGCATTGACAGCTTTGCACACTCTTGGCATTCTCTCAACCATCACTGCAGAATGCTGTGGTAGCCATGCTGGTTAAGTGTACCTTGAATTGTAAATAAATCACAGACAGTGTCACCAGCAAAGCACCCCCACGCCATAACACCACCTCCTCCATGCTTTACGGTGGGAAATACACATGCAGAGATCATCCGTTCACCCACACCGCGTCTCACAAAGACACGGCGGTTGGAGTCAAAAATCTCCAATTTGGACCAGACCAAATGACAAATTTCCACCGGTCTAATGTCCATTGCTTGTGTTTCTTGGCACAAGCAAGTCTCTTCTTCTTATTGGTATCCTTTAGTAGTGGTTTCTTTGCAGCAATTCGACCATGAAGGCCTGATTCACACAGTATCCTCTGAACAGTTGATGTTCAGATCTGTCTGTTACTTGAACACTGTGAAGCATTTATTTGGCCTGCAATTTCTGAGGCTGGTAACTCTAATGAACTTATCCTCTGCAGCAGAGGTAACTCTGGGTCTTCCATTCCTGTGGTGGTCCACATGAGAGACAGTTTCATCATAGCGCTTGATGGTTTTTGCGACTGCACTTGAAGAAACTTTAAAAGTTCTTGAAATATTCCGGATTGACTGACCTTCATGATTAAAGTAATGATGGACTGTCGTTTCTCTTTGCTCATTTGAGCTGTTCTTGCCATAATATGGACTTGGTCTTTTACCAAATAGGGCTATCTTCTGTATAACACCCCTACCTTGTCACAACACACATGATTGGCTCAAACTTATTAAGAAGGAAAGAAATTCCACAAATTAACTTTTAGAAGGCACACCTGTTAATTGAAATGAATTCCAGGTGACTACCTCATGAAGCTGGTTGAGAGAATGCCAAGTGTGCAAAGCTGTCATCAAAGCAAAGGTTACTAAATGATTACTACATGATTCCATATGTGTTATTTCATAGTTTTGATGTCTTCACTATTATTCTACAATGTAGAAAATAGTAAAAATAAAGAAAACCCCTTGAATGAGTAGGTGTTCTAAAACCTTTGACCGGTAGTGTATGTCTGTGTGCGATTATCTTGGTGGATCTATGCACATTATTTTGTGTGTGCATGGGCATTTGTATTTAATCATCGGCGTGTTTGCGATTGTGTGTTTACAGTCTGTGGACGGTGGGATTTGCGCTGAATGTAGGCCAGCAGAATACAGCTTACGTCAAAGCTAGGCAGGCAGATAAATGCAGGGTGTTGCTGCTACCACTGGTGCTGCTGTGGAAATGGAGAGGGTAGTGGCATAGCAGGCAGAAGCTCAGGCAGCCAGAGCAGAGAATCAGTAGAGGTAGATAGAGGAGCAGAGAAGGAACCATGAAGACTGTCCTCCACCTGCACAGGAAATGGATCCACACCTACAAGGCCATCCGTATCCTCCAGGGGCTCGTGAGTGACTCCATCTTGGCTCTAGTTAGACAGGTGGTCTCTGGGTGGAAAGGTAGACCGATAAGCAGGTAGACAGGTAGTTGTGACAAGTGTTTCATGGTGGGTGTAGTAGGTGGTGAAGTTGGTTAAAATGTGGGTGGGTACTTTGGTCAAGTTTTCTGTTTTCAACTGGTATGTGTACTGTATTGGATGGTTGGTGAAAAGCTGACAGTGTGCGAAAGCAGTAGTCCATGTGTGATTCTGCTGATTTAGTGGGTGTGTACTGTACCATGTGCTCAGAGAGTATTGGTTGGGAACATGGAGTTTGTTTGTGCCGGGTATAGCAGAATGCTATCTTATGTGACCTTTCTGTTGGGCATATGAGATTTGGAGCATGATGTTTGGAATGGTCCCTCATGATTGGGCTAATAGTGTGCACCTCAGTGTGTCCTATTGAAATGAGAGAAACACATGGTTATCTCCTGTTCATTGTGGAATGTGTCCTTCTCCCATAGAGCCCAGTCATGGAGGAAACAGTGTGGGAGCAGTACACTGTGACGCTGCAGAGGGTGAGTCCAGCTTTACAACAATACACATCACATACAGCACCACACTGGATTACCACACAATACATCCCTTTTTTAAGTACTGCAACAATAACACACTACAACTCTTCACTGAAACTGTATCACATTTCAATGCATACTTTATAACTAAAACAGAATGGAATTATAATTGTCATGCGCAGCTACACCACCAGATTACAATGCAATACACCGTGGATGCTTTTTAAGATGTTTCAGAACATCTGACGCACTCTAGTACATGTTCACCCATCTACAGCACACAGACTGGAATAATGCCATGCATGCAGCCACATCTGCCCAGTACAGTTAATCGTGTGGAGCTCCTACTCGTTGTCTCATCCCCTCACTCTGCTCTGAAGCTGCTTTTACCGCCACATCACTGACCCTTCCACTTCCAGCTGTCATACTCTCTCCCTATCCCAGCTAGCAGATTGTAACGGGCTAATGTGATGCTCCTTTAGCTGTTACAGGATAGGTACTGTTTGGCATATCACAGATAATTTTCGACCAACCTTAACATGGCGATACTATCGGCCAAACTCTCGCGAGTGGAGTGGAGCAGGGAATGTTTTTAGTACAGATTGGAGAGGGGAGAGGGAGGGGAGATGTGGTGTTAAATCTCTGCTCTAATCTAATCTGGTCAGTGCGGGGGCAGGTACACCACACAGACAAAAAGGAGAGGGACACACTCATGTGGACAGAAGTACACAGAAACACACTAACCTGAACAGACTAGGTCACACAGGTACTCGCACATCCATACAAATGCATCTCTAAAACACGTCCTCTCCACTGCAGGACCCCAAGATGGGTTTTGGTATTGCGGTTTCTGGGGGCCGGGACAACCCCAACGAGGAAAGCGGGGAGATGTCCATAGTGGTGTCTGATGTGCTTCAGGGAGGGCCCGCCGATGGCCTGCTATTGTACGTACCTCCTGTCAATCAGTCATTATGATGCATCAAGTGTTCTGTCATTTTGAGGAGCTAATTTGTGTACAGTTTGAATATCTCACAGTAGATTTTTCCTCATATGTTAATTGTGTTTCGTAGTGATAATGACCGGGTGGTGCAGGTGAACGCCACTCCCATGGACGGCGTGCCACACTCCTTCGCTGTACAGACCCTCAGGAAGTGTGGAAAAGTAGCCAAAATTGTGAGTATGTTTGACATACAGTGCATTCGAAAAGTATTCAGACCCCTTGACTTTTTCAACATTTTGTTACGTTACAGCCTTATTCTAAAATGGATTCAAACGTTTTTTTCCCTCATCAATCTAAACACAATACCCCATAATGACAAAGCAAAAACAGGTTTTTAGAAATGTTTTCCCACCAAAAAATGAAAAAAAAATGAAAGAATAAATTTACATAAGTATTCAGACCCTTTACTCAGTACTTTGTTACATTTTTTACATTTTAGTAATTTAGCAGACACTTTTATTCAGAGCGACTTACAGTTAGTGAGTGCATACATTTTTCATACTGTTGAAGCACCTTTGGCAGCGATTACAGACTCGAATCTTCTAGGGTGTGTCGCTACAAGCTTGGCACACCTGTATTTGTGGAGTTTCTCCCATTCTTCTCTGCAGATCCTCTCAAGCTCTGTCAGCTTGGATGGGGAGCATCGCTGCACAGCTATTTTCAGGTCTCTCCAGAGATGTTCGATCAGGTTCAAGTCCGGGCTCTGGCTGGGCCACTCAAGGACATGTCCCGAAGACTTGTCCCGAAGCCACTCCTGTGTTGTCTTGGCTGTGTGCTTAGGGTTGTTGTCCTCTGTACTTTGCTCCATTCATTGTTCCCTTGATCCTGACTAGTCTCCCAGTCCCTGCCGCTGAAAAACATCCCCACAGCATGATGCTGCCACCGCTATGCTTCACCGTAGGGATGGTGCCAGGTTTCCTCCAGACGTGTCGCTTGGCATTCAGGCCAAAGAGTTGAATCTTGGTTTCATCAGACCAGAGAATCTTATTTCTCATGGTCTGAAAGTCCTTAAGTGCCTTTTGGCAAACTCTAACCGGGCTGTCATGTGCCTTTTACTGAGGAGTGGCTTCCGTCTGGCCATTCTACCATAAAGGCCAGATTGGTGGTGCTGCAGAGATCGTTGTCCTTCTGGAAGTTTCTCCCATCTCCACAGAGGAACTCTGGAGCTCTATCAGTGTGACCATCGGGTTCTTGGTCACCTCCCTGACCAAGGCCCTTCTCCCCTGATTGCTCAGTTTGGCCGGACAGCCAGCTCTAGGAAGAGTGTTGGTGGTTCCAAACTTCTTCCATTTAAGAATGACGGAGGCCACGGTGTTCTTGGGGACCTTCAATGCTGCAGAAATGTTTTGGTACCCTTCCCCAGATCTGTGCCTTGACACAATCCTGTCTCGGAGCTCTACGGACAATTCCGTCGACCTCATGGCTTGGTTTTTGCTCTGACATGCACGGTCAACTGTGGGACCTTTATATAGACAGGTGTGTGCCTTTTACAAATCATGTTCAATCAATTGAATTTACCACAGGTGGACTCCAATCAAGTTGTAGAAACATCTCAAGGATGATCAATGGAAACAGGATGCACCTGATCTCAATTTTGAGTCTCAAATCAAATCAAATCAAATCAAATCAAATTTTATTGGTCACACGCGCCGAATACAACAGGTGCAGACATTACAGTGAAATGCTTACTTACAGCCCTTAACCAACAGTGCATTTATTTTAAACAAAAAAGTAAGAATAAAACAACAACAAAAAAGTGTTGAGAAAAAAAAAAGAGCAGAAGTAAAAAATAAAGTGACAGTAGGGAGGCTATATATACAATAGAATAAAGTGACAGTAGCATAGCAAAGGGTCTGAATACTTATGTAAATAAGGTATTTCAGTTTTTAATTTTTTATAAATTAGCAAACATTTCTAAAACCCTGTTTTTGATTTGTCATTATGGGGTATTGTGTGTGTGTAGATTGATGAGGAAAAAACACTTTTGAATCAATTTTAGAATAAGGCTGTAACGTAACAAAATGTGGAAAAAGGGAAGGGGTCTGAATACTTTCCGAATACACTGTGTGTGTGTGTGTGTGTGTGTGTGTGTGTGTGTGTGTGTGTGTGTGTGTGTGTGTGTGTGTGTGTGTGTGTGTGTGTGTGTGTGTGTGTGTGTGTGTGTGTGTGTGTGTGAAAATATTATGGTGGCAAAAGATAAAGATGCTTGTGATTCACAATTAGAACTCAAGTAAAGGTGTTTGGGATCTGAGGGTAGACCTGGACATAGCACCGTTTCAGCTGCTACGCTTGTTTTAGATGTGCTAAATTGCTTAGATCCTAAAAATTATTGTGCTGCCTTATTTATACACCTTTCCAAGGCTTTTGACACTGTTGACCATTACATTCTCATTCAAAGGTTGACTGAAATAGGCATGGATCAGGCTTCTTTCAAGTGGTTTGAGAATGATCTGTCAGACAGGACACTGTGATTTCTGATGGTGTTAAGTCTAGTTTCCTGGATATTATTAAACGCTATACGCTAGATTTAGAGTTATTTGGCGACTTCAGTTGTGAATGATACAAACCTTAGAATGTCTTAGAAATCAAAACATATATGGCTGCATGATGCGACTATAGGCTATTGATGATTTGAGATAGTTGCAAAAAAGCTTGAGCTCTGTTCCTTGCCTCAGGCTGCACACTGTTCTCTCATCAAGTGTTCATATTTTCACCCATCAGACAATTCTCAATGTAATCTTGTCTTTACTAATATGTAAAATGAGTTTCAAATTAGAATGACCCATTATCAAATACAAGCAGCTGAGAAATAACTATAGTAGCAGCTGGGATCCTCCTCCTTTTTAGTGGCAACCATCAAAACTCTGCTTTCAGACGTGATTGCATAGAGATGTCTGGGCTTATAAAAACACTTATTTTACTCCACGCATCAACCACTGTTTGAGGAGCATGCAGCCTCTTGTTTAATTTTTTTGGTAACCTATAGTTGTTGTTTGTTTTTTTTGTTTTTTTTTGGGGGGGGGGGGGGGGGGTTCATGAATCTGTTGTCCTCAGGGCACCATTGAAAATGAGACCCTGGTCTCAATGCACTCAATGTAAATGATTCCTGATGGTTCAGTCATTGCCTGATGTGGTCTTTTGTTTTTCACAGACGGTCAAGAGGCCCAGGAAGGTTCCGGTCAACCTGCTGAAACGCGCTCCTTCCCCTGATGACCGCGTCTTCAGTAACGACTACAACGATGACTACGATCAGGACCGCCGCAGTGTGTACAGCGAACGCAGCAGTCATCAAGACCGCGACCACAGCCAGGAGAGGGGGTGTTACACAGACGCTGGCTACCAGGGACGGGGCTTTGACCGTGATTACGGTCGAGATGACCGAGGCAGAAGTATGGAGAGGGACCTCGATCCAGACAGGCAGTACAGACGAGACGGGAGCATGGGTCGCACTCTGGACCGTGAACGTAGCCCTGACCGCCGCTACAAAAGCGACCTCACTCTTGACCGTGACCACAGCCCCGATCGGCGTTACCGTAGTGAACGGGCCCTTGACCGCGACCCCAGCCCCGACAGGCGTTTCCGTAGTGAACGCACTCTGGACCGCACTAACAGCCCCGACCTGCGGTACAGAGCCGGTCACAGTCCTGCCCGCAGCCATGGTCGCGACCACAGCTTTGAGAGTTACCGTGAACGTGTTCCTAGTGACCGCGACCACAGGAAAGAGCAGATGAAGAGGAGCGGGAGCAGGGAGCGTCTGGACCGCTCACCCTCCCCCGCCGCCATGCCAGTCCCCATGGCCCGCCCCCCTCGGGAGCAGGAGCCCCTGGAGAAACCCCTCAGTGTGCTGCTGCTGAAGAACAGGCCCAATGAAGGTCTGCATACATACATACTGTACTAACACTCCATATTTACAGTGCTATAGCTCCACTATGCTCATTCCTCTAAGACTGCCTGTGCTAAATGTTTACTATTAGTTAAACCATGTTTTTATGTTTACACAATTGTTTTCGTGTGTGTTTATAGAGTATGGTCTGCGTCTGGGCAGTCAGCTGTTCATTAAGGAGATGACAAGCACAGGTCTGGCCTGCAGGGATGGCAACCTCCAGGAGGGAGACATCATACTGAAGGTAGGAAGGGCCTCACATACAGACCACTGTTTAATCTCTGACCTGGGGGAAGCATTGTTTCACTGCTGCCTCTTCAAAAGTTGCATGTTTTGTTGGCAAAAAACTATAATGGGACTTATCCCCCCCACCCCCCACCATATCTTATAATTGATCCGTCTCGGACAGTGGGCTACAGATATAATGCGATTGCTACCATACACTGTGAATGTGATTTGACTCTCTCTCTCACTCTGTGTCAGATCAATGGTACAGTGACAGAGAACCTGTCTCTGAGCGATGCAGGGAAGCTGATTGAGAAGTCTCGAGGAAAGCTGCAGCTGGTGGTGCAGAGAGACAGGAGACAGGTCCTCATCAGGATTCCTCCCCTGGCAGACAGCGACTCTGAGCTCGATGGTGAGAGACCCTCCAGTCTCAGTCTCTGTGGCAGCATCTCCTTTCCTTTTTAAGGAAAACACTTTTTATGTGGACAGATTCAGAACGGTCCCAGTGCTTTGTATAAGTCTTTCATTTAGTGTTTTAACCTCCTGTATTGTCTGCTGATTTGGAAATGTATGTTGTCTGTTGTGTATTGTCCTGTCCATGTCTGGTTTTATTGCAATGTCTTTTGTTTTTGTTTGATTCTGGCAAGTTTCCCCTTAGGGATAATAAAGTTTTTTTCAACTTTACTCACCCTCCACCCGACCTGTCATTGGTATAGAGATAGAATATGAAACGGTATACCCATGCATGTCAGCCAAACAGACACCTTGTTGATGACATTTAGTATATTCCATCAATTACATTTAACATTTCTATAGAAATAATGCATGAAAAGAGAATCTGTTCTCTTCAGTTTCACCTGGCTGTCTCTATGGCTACTGGCTCTATTTTGGTATATTTGTCACGTGATCAAAGTGCAGGTTATGATTGGGCTGTGTAATTAAATGGGAGGGTGGGGCGATGCGCTGACTCAAAGCTTTTGAGGGGGGCCTTATCACACACCCGGGGACTTCTGACCCACTTTGGTCCATTCAGGGACGTGGTGTGTGAGCGCTTGGCAGGGGAATATAATCCCCCCCGATAATCCACTTATTGAATATGACTGAATTTCATTATGTTATGGTCTGAAATGTAGCAAATAAATGTGCTGTCAATGATTGGAACTGCAGCTTGTGTATTGAGAACAGGGGTGCTTGTCTGTGTGTCAGGTATCTGCCAGAATGTAACTGTCTGAGGTTTGCTGTGTTTGTCTGTTTCTCTCCACTAATACCAAATGTAACGTTTCTTATGGGAAAAGTCGAGTTAGTGTTACATGTATGAAGCATGACTTGGGTGATCTGTCTGAAGATGAACTAGATGTTGGTAATATTTTGTGTTCCAGATATCTCAGAGATCGAGTCTTACCGCTCCTACTCGCCACAGGATGACCGACGGGCCCCCCACTCAGACCTGTCCTCCCACTCCTCCAATGAGAGGCTCAGAGACAAACCCAGGTAAACAGTCTCCCTCTGCTCCCACCTGCAGTATGGATCACTCTTATGTACTGTACCATATACAGTTGAAGTCAGAAGTTTACATACACCATAGCCAAATACATTTAAACTCAGTTTTTCACAATTCCTGACATTTAATCCTAGTAAAAATTCCCTGTCTTAGGTCAGTTAGGATCACCACTATTTTAAGAATGTGAAATGTCAGAATAATAGTATAGAGAATGATTTATTTCAGCTTTTATTTCTTTCATCACATTCCCAGTGGGTCAGAAGTTTACATACACTCAATTAGTATTTGGTAGCATTGCCTTTAAATTGTTTAACTTGGGTCAAACGTTTCGGGTAGCCTTCCACAAGCTTCCCACAATAAGTTGGGTGAATTTTGGCCCATTCCTCCTGACAGAGCTGGTGTAACTGAGTGAGGTTTGTAGGCCTCTTTGCTCGCACACGCTTTTTCAGTTCTGCCCACACATTTTCTATAGGATTGAGGTCAGGGCTTTGTGATGGCCACTCCAATACCTTGACTTTGTTGTCCTTAAGCCATTTTGCTACAACTTTGGAAGTATGCTTGGGGTCATTGTCCATTTGGAAGACCCATTTGCGACCAAGCTTTAACTTCCTGACTGATGTCTTGAGATGTTGCTTCAATATATCCACATAATTTTCCTTCCTCATGATGCCATCTATTTTGTGAAGTGCACCAGTCCCTCCTGCAGCAAAGCACCCCCACAGCATGATGCTGCCACCCCCGTGCTTCACGGTTGGGATGGTGTTCTTCGGCTTGCAAGCATCCCCCTTTTTCCTCCAAACATAACGATGGTCATTATGGCCAAACAGTTCTATTTTTGTTTGATCTGACCAGAGGACATTTCTTCAAAAGGTACAATATTTGTCCCCATGTGCAGTTGCAAACCATAGTCTGGCTTTTTTATGGCGGTTTTGGAGCAGTGGCTTCTTCCTTGCTGAGCGGCCTTTCAGGTTATGTCGATATAGGACTCGTTTTACTGTGGATATAGATAATTTTGTACCTGTTTCCTCCAGCATGTTCACAAGGTCCTTTGCTGTTGTTCTGGGATTTAGTTGCACTTTTCGTACCAAAATACGTTCATCTTTAGGAGACAGAACGCGTCTCCTTCCTGAGCGGTATGACGGCTGCGTGGTCCCATGGTGTTTATACTTGCGTACTATTGTTTGTACAGATGAACGTGGTGCCTTCAGGCGTTTGGAAATTGCTCCCAAGGATGAACCAGACTTGTGGAGGTCTACAAAAAAATTTCTGAGGTCTTGGCTGATTTCTTTTGATTTTCCCATGATGTCAAGCAAAGAGGCACTGAGTTTGAAGGTAGGCCTTAAAATACATCCACAGGTACACCTCCAATTGACTCAAATGATGTCAATTAGCCTATGAGAAGCTTCTAAAGCCATCATTTTCTGGAATTTTCCAAGCTGTTTAAAGGCACTGTCAACTTAGTGTATGTAAACTTCTGACCCACTGGAATTGTGATACAGTAAATTATAAGTGAAATAATCTGTCTGTAAACAATTGCTGGAAAAATTACTTGTGTCATGCACAAAGTAGATGTCCTAACCGACTTGCCAAAACTATAGTTTGTTAACAAGAAATTTGTGGAGTGGTTGAACATTTTTATGACTCCAATCTAAGTGTATGTAAACTTCCGACTTCAACTGTATTGTCATGACAAGGCTGACAAGTTCCTGTCAAGTTCAGATTATATTTACGTTGAGGATCTTTACTCCATCACTATGACGTTTCAGAGAAGATGAAAGCATACTGTAGCTGTGTTGTACTGTTTGAGAACCATGGGATTCTGTGTGTTTTACAATCAGGGAGGAACCTCCCAGCAGGCTGGCTAAAATGGGCGCTATGCCGACACCGTTCGCCATGCCGGCGCGAAAGCCGGATAGAGTTGTGGAGGACACGCCCCCTCTGCCAGCAGAGAGGGAGGAACCCCTCCCAGAAACACCCCCAGGTAAGCACAATGACTTTGAATAACTGAATCTGGGACTATTTTTATTTCCATTATCACATTTATCTGTTATACAAGCAGTGCATCAGTTAACTTACACATCTATTGTAGCAATGCTGAAAGCAGCATAAAATCACCAATGAGTCTCACTAGAATTTCCATTTTGCTTTTACAGCACCGGTAGTAACTGTTGCCCCAAAAGTCCACGCTGCCCCAAAGGTACCACTAAGGCCAAGCATAGAGGATCAGGAGATATACGGGTGAGTGTTGGTTCCACAAACAAATCTACAGAGAATGGGTCTAGGGTACAGACTCACTATTAACTCAACAGAGTAGTATACTCTAATGTAGATTATCAATATAAATGTTATTAACTTGCCGTTTGTCTTAAATGGGTTGTGTGTTGTCCAGGCCCAACACGGTGATGGTGCGTTTCCAGAAGGGAGAGAGCGTGGGGCTGAGGCTGGCGGGAGGAAACGATGTGGGAATCTTCATCGCAGGCATTCAGGAGGACAGTCCTGCAGAACAGGAGGGTCTTCACACTGGGGACCAGATCATGAAGGTGTCACTATATGAGTAGCATGTCTTTGTCTCATGTGTCTTTTTAATGTTTGTCATGTTTGTGAAATTCCTCATGTCTGTTCATGAGTGCTTTACATATGATCTATAATGTTATGTCTTCTGATGTATTTGTGTCTGTCAGGTGAATAACATGGACTTCAGGGGCATGGTGCGTGAGGATGCTGTCCTGTACCTGCTGGAGATTCCAAAGGGAGATGATGTCACCATCCTGGCTCAGAGCAAACCTGATGGTGAGTAACGCCTTCACTCTCTAGATAAAGACAAATCTGTCATATTATTTCAGGTCATGTTGCAGGTGAAGTGGTTTGATGTTTGTGGTGTCTGTCCTCTGTTCCAGTCTATAAGGACATCCTGGCATCGGGCAGGGGGGACTCGTTCTTCATCAGGACCCATTTTGAGTATGAGAAAGAGGTTCCCCAGAGCCTGCCCTTCTCTCGAGGGGAGATCTTCAAGGTGACAGACACACTCTACGATGGCAAGCTGGGCAACTGGCTGGCCATCCGCACTGACAAAGACAACCAGCTGCTGGAGAAGGGTATCATCCCCAACAAGAGCAGGTGTGTGTGTGTGTGTGTGTGTGTGTGTGTGTGTGTGTGTGTGTGTGTGTGTGTGTGTGTGTGTGTGTGTGTGCGGGTAAAGATGTAATATCTTAATTTTATCACCCTGTTGCAGGAGAAGTTGTAGTGTATTTGAGGTAGGGCTGCACGATTAATCGAATTCAGATCGAAATTGCGATATTGACATGTGCGATATCCATATTGCTTTTATTTATTTTTACACTCCATTAATACAACAAAAACTAGACTACGGTACCTCCTCCAATGAGATGCGCTAGACTCTGTTAATTATCTCTCTACATGCACAGAGGATGCTGACCAATCACAAGCGGGGTCTCTCACTCTCTGCATGGCATGCACATGCTGGCCAATCACAAGCGTCCCCACTTAGAGCGCGCAGGTAGATGCTGGTGAGGAGAGAAAGGGCTTTTACCAAAGACAATACAGTATGAGGTTTAGGAACTCTGTGGCTTTACCTCAGTGTGTCGGAAACATGAGTGCTGCTAGTGCTAACGAGAACGTCGATTTGGTGCCAAAGGAGGACGCATCTTCAGTGGTATGGCAGTATTTCGGCTACAGGCAAACCGATGTCAACCAAATGGAAGTGTTGTGCAAAAAGTGCCTCAGAGTTGTGGCGGCGACAAGAAGCAACACAACCAATGTATTCTATCATTTGAAGAATAACCATCCCCTACTTTACGACGATTGCAATATATATTTTTTAAACGCCCCGACAGCAGCAAAGCCACAACCAACCACCTACGTTAAACAGGCTTTGATTGCAGATGCGTTTTCAAATGTAAGGCCTACAAAGAAACAGACACATAGAAGTCACAGAGGTTATCACCCATCACATAGCCAAAGACATGGTTCCTATTTACACAGTCCGCAAAGACAGCTTCAAGAGAGGATAAACAAGCTGGAGAGGAGATACAAGATTCCATCTCGCACATATTTCTCCCAAGTCGCCATCCCAACACTGTATAACACGTTTAAGGTAGACATTGAAGCATGTCGCATTGAATTACTAGACTAGACTCCAATGTTTGGACACAGGCTGCACCTTGCAATCGGTAGGCTACGTTTTACATGATTTTAAGGCACTTTGATTTATAGTTTCAATTATATAATAATGATTGAGCCTACTTATACATAATTACACAATCATAAGACTCCTATTCCATCTGCAGCCTATGGCTGCCTGAATAAATAATTAACTTAGGTTACTTAAGAACTCATAATGGTAAAATAGGAACTCATAATGTTATTAATTAATTCATGAATTAATGCTGTGCTTATATGTAGGTTTAATAATCATATCTATTATCATACTCTGTAGCCTATAACAATTTTGGAAAATATTTGTTTAATTTGGCTTTGTATTCAGTTGGCACAGTATGTAATAATTCATATGATCTCAATTTTAGAAGTGATGTTCTCTACCCTGACAGTAGGTTTAACCTGATGGAATTACCAAGTTTTCACCCAAGTGTTTGAAAATCGCAATTCATAATCGCAATTGCAATATCTGGCCCCAAAAATCGCAATTACAGTTGAAGTCGGAAGTTTACATACACTTAGGTTGGAGTCATTAAAACTTGTTTTTCAACCACTCCACAGATTTCTTGTTAACAAACTATAGTTTTTTCAAGTCGGTTAGGACATCTACTTTCTGCATGACACAAGTAATTTTTCCAACAATTGTTTAGAGACAGATTATTTCACTTATAATTCACTGTATCACAATTCCAGTGGGTCAGAAGTTTACATACACTAAGTTGACTGTGCCTTTATGATGTCATGGTTTTAGAAGCTTCTGATAGGCTAATTGACATAATTTGAGTCAATTGGAGGTGTACCTGTGGATGTATTTCAAGGCCTACCTTCAAACTCAGTGTCTCTTTGCTTAACATCATGGGAAAATCAAAAGAAATCAGCCAAGACCTCAGAAAAACAATTTGTAGACCTCCACAAGTCTGGTTCATCCTTGGGAGCAATTTCCAAACGCCTAAAGGTACCACGTTCATCTGTACAAACAATAGTACGCAAGTATAAACACCATGGGACCACGCAGCCGTCATACCGCTCAGGAAGGAGACGCGTTCTGTCTCCTAGAGATGAACGTACTTTGGTGCGAAAAGTGCAAATCAATCCCAGAACAACAGCAAAGGACCTTGTGAAGATGCTGGAGGAAACGGGTACAAAAGTATCTATATCCACAGTAAAACGAGTCCTATATCGACATAACCTGAAAGGCCGCTCAGCAAGGAAGAAGCCACTGCTCCAAAACCGCCATAAAAAAGCCAGACTACGGTTTGCAACTGCACATGGGGACAAAGATCGTACTTTCTGGAGAAATGTCCTCTGGTCTGATGAAACAAAAATAGAACTGTTTGCCCATAATGACCATCGTTATGTTTGGAGGAAAAAGGGGTAGGCTTGCAAGCCGAAGAACACCATCCCAACCGTGAAGCACGGGGGTGGCAGCATCATGCTGTGGGGGTGCTTTGCTGCAGGAGGGACTGGTGCACTTCACAAAATAGATGGCATATTGAAGCAACATCTCAAGACATCACTCAGGAAGTTAAAGCTTGGTCGCAAATGGGTCTTCCAAATGGACAATGACACCAAGCATACTTCCAAAGTTGTGCCAAAATGGCTTAAGGACAACAAAGTCAAGGTATTGGAGTGGCCATCACAAAGCCCTGACCTCAATCCTATAGAAAATATGTGGGCAGAACTGAAAAAGCGTGTGCGAGCAAGGAGGCCTACAAACCTGACTCAGTTACACCAGCTCTGTCAGGAGGAATGGGCCAAAATTCACCCAACTTATTGTGGGAAGCTTGTGGAAGGCTACCTGAAACGTTTGACCCAAGTTAAACAATTTAAAGGCAATGCTACCAAATACTAATTGAGTGTATGTAAACGTCTGACCCACTGGGAATGTGATGAAATAAATAAAAGCTGAAATAAATCATTCTCTCTACTATTATTCTGACATTTCACATTCTTAAAATAAAGTGGTGATCCTAACTGACCTAAGACAGGAAATTTTTACTACGATTAAATGTCAGGAATTGTGAAAAACTGAGTTTAAATGTATTTGGCTAAGGTGTACAGTGGGGGTAGCCATTTTGTGGTTGCTAAAAATTGTATAGTTCGGCAAATTTCTGTTTGTGACAAAACAAGCAACTATAGTGTAGAGAATCATTGTACCATCTACAGTGGGGGAAAAAAACGTATTTAGTCAGCCACCAATTGTGCAAGTTCTCCCACTTAAAAAGATGAGAGGCCTGTAATTTTCATCATAGGTACACGTCAACTATGACAGACAAATTGAGATTTTTTTCTCTCCAGAAAATCACATTGTAGGATTTTTTATGAATTTATTTGCAAATTATGGTGGAAAATAAGTATTTGGTCACCTACAAACAAGCAAGATTTCTGGCTCTCACAGACCTGTAACTTCTTCTTTAAGAGGCTCCTCTGTCCTCCACTCGTTACCTGTATTAATGGCACCTGTTTGAACTTGTTATCAGTATAAAAGACACCTGTCCACAAACTCAAACAGTCACACTCCAAACTCCACTATGGCCAAGACCAAAGAGCTGTCAAAGGACACCAGAAACAAAATTGTAGACCTGCACCAGGCTGGGAAGACTGAATCTGCAATAGGTAAGCAGCTTGGTTTGAAGAAATCAACTGTGGGAGCAATTATTAGGAAATGGAAGACATACAAGACCACTGATAATCTCCCTCGATCTGGGGCTCCACGCAAGATCTCACCCCGTGGGGTCAAAATGATCACAAGAACGGTGAGCAAAAATCCCAGAACCACACGGGGGGACCTAGTGAATGACCTGCAGAGAGCTGGGACCAAAGTAACAAAGCCTACCATCAGTAACACACTACGCCGCCAGGGACTCAAATCCTGCAGTGCCAGACGTGTCCCCCTGCTTGAGCCAGTACATGTCCAGGCCCGTCTGAAGTTTGCTAGAGTGCATTTGGATGATCCAGAAGAGGATTGGGAGAATGTCATATGGTCAGATGAAACCAAAATATAACTTTTTGGTAAAAACTCAACTCGTCGTGTTTGGAGGACAAAGAATGATGAGTTGCATCCAAAGAACACCATACCTACTGTGAAGCATGGGGGTGGAAACAGCATGCTTTGGGGCTGTTTTTCTGCAAAGGGACCAGGACGACTGATCCGTGTAAAGGAAAGAATGAATGGGGCCATGTATCGTGAGATTTTGAGTGAAAACCTCCTTCCATCAGCAAGGGCATTGAAGATGAAACGTGACTGGGTCTTTCAAAACGTTTGACCTGTGTCATTGCCAACAAAGGGTATATAACAAAGTATTGAGAAACTTTTGTTATTGACCAAATACTTATTTTCCACCATAATTTGCAAATAAATTCATAAAAAATCCTACAATGTGATTTTCTGGATTTTTTTTCCCTCATTTTGTCTGTCATAGTTGACGTGTACCTATGATGAAAATTACAGGCCTCTCTCATCTTTTTAAGTGGGAGAACTTGCACAATTGGTGGCTGACTAAATACTTTTTTTCCCCACTGTATGTAAACTTCCGACTTCAACTGTAGATATTTTTACCAAATCGTGCAGCCCTAATTTGAGGTTTAAAAAGCCTTCTGAAGTTTGTAACTTCCACTTTGAAATTTCCGACTAGATTTTACTTTACGAAAAATGTATCAACCCCTACGAACATGTCCATTAATTATAATCCACATAATAATTCACATTTCCTTTTGCTGCAGGATTATTTTCCTGCTTTAGCAAAGTGGCTCAAATTAAGATCCTACATCTGTGTGTGTGTGTGTAATGATTGAGACTAAGTGCTAATTAATGATTCCCGGTGTTCTCTGCTTATCAGGGCGGAACAAATGTCAAATGTGCAGAATGCCCAGAGAGGAACAGCCAATGACAGAGGAGACTTCTGGAGGTTGAGGGGTCAAAGGGCGGCAAAGAAGAAGGACCTCCGTAAGAGCAGAGAGGACCTGACTGCCATCCCAGTCACCACTCGCTTCCCTGCCTACGAGAGGGTGGTCTTACGAGAAGGTACGTCTCCCAACGCAAAAGACTCCCATCTCCTGTTGTGGTGTGGTCTAAGAGCCACTTCACTGCATAGAACAGAATAAGTTCTAAACTTTCGATTGAACTTAACTATCAACTGAATGTTTTATGAAATTATTAGGAACTTTCCCATAATGGCATGCACAGACAAACTAGATATCATGTCTAACCAGAGCTATATTACAGATATGAGATACTGTGTGTCTGTTTTGATCCTCAGCTGGCTTCAGGAGACCAGTGGTTGTGTTCGGGCCCATTGCAGATGCAGTCAATGAGAAACTGGCCAACGACCTGCCTGAGGAGTTTGTCATAGCTAGTGAGTATGATGTTCCTTACTTCTGCTTGTGAATGAAGGTGCATCATGTATTTACGTTAGGTGCACTCGATTTATCTTTTTTTTTTTTCAATGGAATAGTAACACATTTGTTCACCCTGCGCTGACCGGGCACGCTAAATTGAGCGCTGCCTTATTGCTTCTATGATCATGTGTGTTTCTGTAGTATTGGTGAGAAGCTGATGTGTTTTTGTTTGCCCACACAGAGACTGAGCCCAAGGATGCAGGCACTGAGAAGTCCTCCGGTGTGGTGAGACTCAATACCATTCGTCAGATCATCGAACAGGTAAACACCACCACCAGCATCTTCATCCTCGCCATCATTTTACCTCAATCATCATTACCATCATCATCTTCATACACCCTTTACCTTCATCACCATAGTCATCATCCTCCACCTCCTCACCCTACTCTTCCACTTCACTATCATCTTCTCCAGCTTCCCTCTCACATTGACCCTCTCCTTCCCTGTCTCCCCAGGACCACCATGCCCTGCTGGACGTGACTCCCAAGGCAGTGGACACCCTGAACTACACCCAGTGGTACCCCATTGTGGTGTTCCTAAACCCGGACAGCAAGGTGGGCATCAAGACGATGAGAAACCGCCTTGTGCCCGGCTCCAATCGCAGCGCCCGCAAACTCTACGAGCAGGCGGTCAAACTGAGGAAGAACTATTCCCACCTCTTCACTGGTCAGTCACACACACACACACACACACACACACACACACCTTGACTATCTGTCCTTTTTTTAGCTCCACTGTACGTGGCACTGATGCTACTTCCCAGGTGAATCCCTAGTATTATGAGGCCTGAACACTATGGTTGGTCTATTGAGGCCACATTGTTTCAGGAATAAACTATGATTAAGCTGTATTACTCCTATTTCTGTTGTGCCAATCATTCTGGTTTGTTTCCCTACACAGCGACCGTTGACCTGAATTCAGCCAATGACGGGTGGTACGGGAGTGTGAAAGACTCTATCCGTGCACAGCAGGAGCGGGCTGTGTGGATCTGTGAGGGCAAGGTAAGCTCTATGTTTATACTTAATACATATACACTGAACAAAAATATAAACGGAACATGTAAAGTGTTGATTTCATGAGCTGAAAAAAAAGATCGCTGAACTTTTCCACACGCACAAAAAGCTGATTTCTCTCAAATGTTGTGCACAAATTTGCTTACATCCCTGTTTATGAGCATTTCTGATTTGCCAAGATAATCCATCCACCTGATAGGTGTGGCATATCAAGAAGATGATTAAACATCATGATCATTACACAGGTGTACCTTGTGCTGGGGACAATAAAAGGCAACTCTAAAATGTGCAGTTTTGTCACACAACACAATGCCACAAATGTCTAAGGTTTTAAGGGAGCGTGCAATTGGCATGCTGACTCCAGGAATGGCCACCAAAGCTGTTGCCAGAGAATTGAATGTTCATTTCTCTACCATAAGCGTCGTTTTAGAGAATTTGGCAGTATGTCCAACCGGCCTCACAACCGCAAACCACGTGTATGGTGTCATGTGGGCGAGTGTTTTGCTGATGTCAACGTTGTGAACAGAGTGCCCCATGGTGGCGGTGAGGTTATGGTATGGGCAGGCATAAGCTACGGACAACGAACACAATTGTATTTTATCGATGGCAATTTGAATGCACAGCGATACCGTGACGAGATCCTGAGGCCCATTGTTGTGCCATTCATCCGCCACCATCACCTCATGTTTCAGCATGATGATGCACGGCCGCATGTCTCAAGGATCTGTACACAATTCCTGGAAGCTGAAAATGCCAAAATTCTTCCATGGCCTGCATACTCACCAGACATGTCACCCATTTAGCATGTTTGGGAGGCTATAGATCGACATGTACGACAGCATGTTCCAGTTCCCGCCAATATCCAGAAACTTCGCACAGCCATTGAAGAGGAGTGGGACAACATTTCACAGGCTACAATCAACAGCCTGATCAACTCTATGCGAAGGAGATGTGTCGCGCTGCATGAGGCAGATGGTGGTCTCACTAGATACTGACTGCTTTTCTGATCCACGCCCCTACTTTTTTTTTAAAGGTATCTGTGACCAGTCGTATGAAATCCATACATTAGAGCCTAATGAATGTATTTAAATTGACTGATTTCCTTATATGAACTGTAACTCAGTAAAATCTTTGAAATTGTTGCATGTTGCGTTTTATAATTTTGTTCTGTGTGTGTGTGTACACACACACACACTCTACCTGTCCAAAGTTTTAGAACACCTACTAATTCGTGTTTTTCTTTATTTTTACTATTTTCTACATTGTAGAATAATAGTGAAGACATCAGAACTATGAAATAACACATATGGAATCATGTAGTAACCAAAAAAGTGTTAAACAAATGAAAATATATTTTATATTTGAGATTCTTCAAATAGCCACCCTTTGCCTTGGTGACAGTTTTGCACACTCTTGGCATTCTCTCAACCAGCTTCAGCTGGAATGCTTTTCCAACAGTCTCGAAGGAGTTCCCACATATGCTGAGCACTTGTTGGCTGCTTTTCCTTCACCCTGCGGTCCGACTCATCCCAAACCATCTCAATTTGGTTGAGAACAGGGGATTGTGGAGGCCAGGTAATCTGGTGCAGCACTCCATCACTCTCCTTCAGCCCTTACACAGCCTGGAGGTGGGTTGGGTCATTGTCCTGTTGAAAAACAAATGATAGTCCCACTAAGCCCAAACCAGATGGGATGGCGTATCGCTGCAGAATGCTGTGGTAGCCATGCTGGACACCACCTCCTCCATGCTTTACGGTGGGAAATACACACGCGGAGATAATCCGTTCACCCACACCGCGTCTCACAAAGACACGGTGGTTGGAACCAGAAATCTCCAATTTGGACTCCAGACCAAAGGACAAATTTCCACCGGTCTAATGTCCATTGCTCGTGTTTCTTGGCCCAAGCAAGTCTCTTCTTTTTATTGGTGTCCTTTAGTAGTGGTTTCTTTGCAGCAATTCAACCATGAAGGCCTGATTCACACAGTCTCCTCTGAACAGTTGATGTTGAGATGTCTGTTACTTGAACTCTGTGAAGCATTCATTTGGGCTGCAATTTCTGAGGCTGGTAACTCTAATGAACTTATCCTCTGCAGCAGAGGTAACTCTGGGTCTTCCATTCCTTTGGCGGTCCTCATGAGAGCCAGTTTCATCATAGCGCTTGATGGTTTTTGCGACTGCACTTGAAGAAACGTTTGAAGTTCTTGAAATTTTCCGTATTGACTGACCTTCATATCTTAAAGTAATGATGGACTGTCGTTTCTCTTTGCTTATTTGAGCTGTTCTTGCCATAATATGGACTTGGTCTTTTACCAAATAGGGCTATCTTCTGTATACCCCCCCCCCCCCCCCCTCCCCCCCACCTTGTCACAACACAACTGATTGGCTGAAATGCATTAAGAAGGAAAGAAATTTCACAAATTAACCTTTAAGAAGGCACACCTGTTAATTGAAATGCATTCCAGGTGACTACCTCATGAAGCTGGTGTTCAAAGCTGTTATCAAGGCAAAGGGTGGCTATTTGAAGAATCTCAAATATAACATATTTTGTTTTGTTTAACACTTTTTTTGGTTACTACATGACTCCATATGTGTTATTTCATAGTTTTGATGTCTTCACTATTATTCAACAATGTAGAAAATAGTAAAAAATAAAAACCCTTTTTATTTTATTTTATTTCACCTTTATTTAACCAGGTAAACCAGTTGAGAACAAGTTCTCATTTACAACTGCGACCTGGCCAAGATAAAGCAAAGCAGTGCGATAAAAACAACAACACAGAGTTACATATGGGGTAAAACAAAACAAAGTCAAAAATACAACATAAATAAATATATATACAGTGTGTGCAAATGTAGCAAGTTATGGAGGTAAGGCAATAAATAGGCTATAGTGCAAAAATAATTACAATTAGTATTAACACTGGAATGATAGATGTGAAAATAGAGATACTGGGGTACAAATGAGCAAAATAAATAACAATATAGGGATGAGGTAGTTGGGCGGGCTAATTTCAGATGGGCTGTGTACAGGTGCAGTGATCGGTAAGGTGCTCTGACAACTGATGCTTAAAGTTAGTGAGGGAGGTAAGTGTCTCCAGCTTCAGAGATTTTTGCAATTTGTTCCAGTCATTGGCAGCAGAGAACTGGAAGGAATGGCGGCCAAAGGAGGTGTTGGCTTTGGGGATGACCAGTGAGATATACCTGCTGGAGCGCAGACTACGGGTGGGTGTTGCTATGGTGACCAATGAGCTAAGATAAGGCGGGGATTTGCCTAGCAGTGATTTATAGATGGCCTGGAGCCAGTGGGTTTGGCGACGAATATGTAGTGAGGACCAGCCAACAAGAGCGTACAGGTCACAGTGGTGGGTAGTATATGGGGCTTTGGAGACAAAACGGATGGCACTGTGATAGACTACATCCAATTTGCTGAGTAGAGTGTTGGAGGCTATTTTGTAAATGACATCGCCGAAGTCAAGGATCGGTAGGATAGTCCGTTTTACGAGGGCATGTTTGGCAGCATGAGTGAAGGAGGCTTTGTTGCGAAATAGGAAACCGATTCTAGATTTAACTTTGGATTGGAGATTCTTAATGTGAGTCTGGAAGGAGAGTTTACAGTCTAACCAGACACCTAGATATTTGTAGTTGTCCACATACTCTAGGTCAGACCCGTCGAGAGTAGTGATTCTAGTCGGGTAGGCGGGTGCAAGCAGCGTTCGGTTGAAGAGCATGCATTTAGTTTTACTAGTGTTTAAGAGCAGTTGGAGGCTACTGAAGGAGTGTTGTATGGCATTGAAGCTCGTTTGGAGGTTTGTTAACACAGTGTCCAATGAAGGGCCAGATGTATACAAAATGGTGTCGTCTGCGTAGAGGTGGATCTGAGAGTCACCAGCAGCAAGAGCGACGTCATTGATATACACACGTCATTGATAAAAAAATAAAAACCCTTGAATTAGTAGGTGTTCTAAAACTTTGGACCGGTAGTGTGTATATATACAGTGAGTTTACGTACTGTATGTAGTGTGTTTGAGTGTCGATTTCACACCTACTTGCGTCTCTCTCGCTCTCTCATCTCCGGTCTTCTCTATTTTCTCTCTGTCTCGTTCTCTCTCTCTATTTATTTCAGTTGGACGGCTCGGAGGAGGAACTGGATATCCATGATGACCGCATGTCGTACCTATCAGCGATGAGCGCCGACTACCTGAGCATGGACAGTCGACTGACCAGCGACTATGATGACACGGCTGACGAGGGCGGGGCTTACACCGACAACGAGCTGGACGAGCCAATGGACGAGCCCCATCAGCCGGTGTCGGCCATCAGCCGCTCCTCAGAGCCCGTACTACCAGAGGAGGTGGGTGGGCTTTACTACTGTCAATCACTATCCCTCATTGTCAATCACTCATTCTGTGTCAGAGATGGAGACTGGCATCTGTCTCTCTCAAGTGTACTCCATTAATCTGTCAATCTCTCATTGTCAGTCAACAATCTTGACTTGTTGTGTTGACATATTCTGTGTTTGTTGACATACTGTCTGTATGTATATCTGTTGACATATGTATATGTACATCCCTCCCACCTATAGAGACCCCATCCTGCCCCCATACCTCGTATGAGGAGATCAGGGAGCAGAGAGGTGCTGAGAGACCCCAGCCCACCCCCCTCCTTCGTCCCTGAGCCCCCCAAGGTAAGACCCCCTTGAACCCCACCCTCAACTCTCAATCCCCTCAACCCCAAACCCTGTACCACATCTTGTGCTTGCTTATAAGACTTAGAATACTAAGGTTATATAAGTGCTTGCTAAATTACCATAATATCCTCTTCTATTACAGCAGGTGAGGGTGCAGTCTCGCGGGGGATATGACTCCCACTCCAGCAGCACCATTAGCAGTGACGCGGCCGGGGGGCCCAAGCCCGCCCCGCCCCCCGTGGCCCTTAAGCCCACCCTGAAGGCCCTCAGCCAGTCGTCTGAGGAACACAGTGTCAAGGGGGGAGAGGACCCGGCCAACCACTCATTCATTGGCAAGGTGAAGGCCTTCGAAAAGATGGACCACCTGGCCAGAGCCCAGAGGATGCTGGAGCTCCAGGAGGCCGAGCATGCACGGGTCAGTACTACTGGTGGAAAACTTGGTGAATAGATAGAAAGTAATGCTTGTGCAATGGTAAGATGTAACGCTTCATAAACAGAACCAAATGGATCTACAGGGGAGTGTGATCATTTCATATATTCTGATAAACGTTTTATTGCAAGTACCAAAAGGTATATTCAAGTGCATATGTTGCCTTATGTTTGTAATGTACAGTATGTGCTTTGGCATAACTGGGCCTCCTCCTGCTTTCTGACTGTAGCTGGAAATAGCCCAGAAGCACCCAGACATCTATGCAGTCCCAGTGAAACTACCAAAGCCCAACCACAACCGCCCACAGCCAATAGGGTAAGTTAATCTATTTAACCTTGTCGGTCACCACACAAATTAGCATTTTTACTTAACTTTCCACTGCCTGTCATAGGTTGGGTTCAGGTTGTGTTGAATGCTTTTGTTTTTACAGACTTGATGCCCAACAATCTGAATGAACGAAAATGTCTCTCTCGCTCTCCTGTGTGTCCAGCTCCAGCTCCAACCCAGAGCCCCAGTCCTCCAGGCCACCGTACTCTGAGAGCAGGGGTCACTACGACGACGATAAGGAAGAGTACCGCAGACAGCTTGCCGACCAGACCAGACGAGGCTACTACAGCAACCCCCAGAAATACAAAGACACTGAGATGTAGGACAGACAGACCCACCTGTCACACCTTACTGTTCTCACTGTGCTCACCCAATCAGGGAGGCCCTCACTGTGGTTACTCAAACAACCTATCCCTTTGCCTATCCTGTTCTGTGGCCCCACCTAGTGGCAGGACGATATATCCCGTTCAGGTGTGTCCTTACCTTGACTGTTTGCCTCACTGTGTGGATGGCGTATCTGCCTTTTAACCTCCCAACCCCACGATGTCTACCCTGATGGGTGGTGTTTGATGTTCACCCCCAACCACATCCCCTCAGTCATATCTGTCCCAAAAATGTATTTATATATCTTTTTTTTTTTTTTACATGTTATAAATCTTAAGCATTATTTGTTACATTGAAATAAACGTATCTGGACAGACATGGGGTATTCTGTGTCTAGTGGTGGAGAGTGTCCTTTTATTCTTTAAATCATGCATTGCATACCCTCTGATTTACTGTACACCTGGACATTCTGTCCTTTGTGTATGTGTACTTTAGTACTAGAGATCAGCACATACAAAGTGCCTTTAGCTCTGAAAGTGTAACAGTGTCAGATCACTGAAAGAACAAAGAAGCAGTCAGCACTAGGCTGTCAGAGGTAATGGGCAAAACATGGCAGTTTACTTCTCTGTATTAGCTGCATACATACAACCTGAGACACAATCACATTTTTATGGCATATACATTATATATACGCTAAAGAGGGGACAGTCTCTTGTTTTACCAGGGTGTATCAGGAAAGTGATACTGTGATGTCTGTTGCTTAGTTCTACGCATCTGTATTTATCTACTATTTGATTCATGATCCTCATGCGGCTGAAATCAACTGTAGTGAGTCTAGTTTTAAACTTTCTCAAACAAATATAAATAAATAGATTTTAAACTTTCATTTGTGTCATGTCTTAGTTCATTCTATAAATAATGGTGAGAGTGTTGTGTGTTTCTAATGCAGCCTCAGGCAGGATGGCTTCTTGGAGTTCATTCAACCAGGTGCAAATTATAGCATAGCTGCAACATCTAAGGACATTGCCTTTGTTTTGCAGAGTTGCATATTTTTACATGCAAGGCTATATTTAAGTGGTTTTGGTCCAATGAGAAGCTCACATCATTTGCATTACCATGCCCCCAAGGAGACAGTTTGCATGTATAGTACATTCATAGGATCCTGAAAGACCAAAGGTATTCCTTGCTCTACGTTCAACCTAAATACGCACATTTAAATTCAGTTATCTTTGGTTATTGATCAGACACATCCCATTTATACTCTGCCTAGTAAATTAATCTGTGGCGTTTTACTTCAGAGATGCACCGGTCATTCATGTCTTATAACAGATTCAGATTAAGGCAAGTCAGAGATGAGATGCATGAAAATACTTTGTTTTCAAGCAAACAAACAGTGAGATGATGTGAAAAATCTATAAATACATGGCTGATAAATGTTTGTAATTAAATAAAAACTGAAGTAAAATCCTCTTGATGTGAACTGGAATGGAGAGTTCTGTCCAGAGAGGGAGAGAGAGCAAGTCCCAGGTTCAGTCTTAGATGTAGACAGGCTGTTCCTGGGCAGTCAGCAGACGGTACATGGCTGCAGGCATTGTCTTCATGTGGATCTGCAGCACAATGAAAAAACACACAGGTTGCATGATCAAAGACCTCCAACACAGCGGAGCATGGAGTTTTCCAGCCGTTTTGGATTGACAGTTAATTCCATCTCAACTCAATAAAATTCCATAAATTAATTGTAATGCCATTTACAGATTCAATCAGTATTACTCATGACTGTATTTACTTAAGTTCTTGACCTCGGACACTGGACTGTATTACATGTTACTGTTAGGTGTGTATTCGTACCTCTCCCACTGCATTAGACAGGATGTGAACAATCTTCTCATGAGGTGTGGCCACCACACTCTGGCCGTTGATCTCAATGATGCGATGACCGACACGGACCCCTCCTCTCTCAGCAATGCCCCCCCTCATCAGGCTGCATATCTGTACAGGAGGAGGGAGGGACACAAACAGCTGATAATGAAAATGACATTAATCTATATAAAAAATGACAACTACAAGAAATTGAATCTACTTTAAAAATGTGCAATAGTACAGGAAGCAGAGCACTCAAAGCTAAGGGTCCTCTCTTTTTTATTTATTGTCATGATACCCACAATGCCATTCTGTACGCTGAAGCCCAACTGGTATCGGAGGTCTGGTCTGCGGATCAGTACCATAGTGACGGGGGGACACCTGACGATGTTCAACTTCATCTTGGACTGGGCCTTCAGACCCTGGTGAGGAGGAGAGATAGACAGATTAGGGGTGGATTATAACAGGAGGAGTCAGCCAAGAGAAGAGGGAAAGAATATGCTTGCAGCACTGTATGGTCAAGCAGTCAAAGTGAATTGTTTTCAATGTGTGCCAGGTTGCAGAGGGGCATACTAGATTTAGATTTAAAACGATGGACTTTGTCTGCCTGACCACAAGATGAGCGCATTTGCATTTTCAGCAGAAATGCACAGCTGGGCTGCAGTGACACAGAAAGAGAGAGAGAAGGTGAAGAAAGGCAGGGAGACGAGGGAAAGAGGCTTCAAGAAAGGTAAAAGAACACAAACTGAGAGACAAAAGAGAAAGGCAAACCTTGATGACACTCTGGCAGGTGGAGAGGGGCAGTCCAACCAGACTGGTTCCATTGATGGTCATGATCTGGTCACCAATGTTGAGTCGACCAGACTTCTCCGCCGGCCCAGAATGCATCATGCTAGCGATGATGACGGTGGGCAGGATAGAGCCCCAGCCTGACTCCACTATGACCACACCCAGCATCTCTCCCTTCTGCTTCTCAATGTAAACCTGCGATTGGATACACACATAACAGATATACCACTACTTACACCACTACGGTCAAGGCAACTGTTCACTTGAATGTCTTCATGCTTTTAATTAGCATTGCATTACATTAACAAGAAGGGCTATGTGTATTTCAAGTCTACCTCTCGCACTGTTTTAGGAGTAATAGGCCACTAGGTCTAAAATCCCATATCAAAATACTAAGCACATAACAATGGCCTGCCACCTGGTGGTTGACTCACGTCTCTGCAGTTCTCTGACTTGGAGAAGTGGATGAGGTCATCATTGTACATGTCCTGAGTGTTGAGCAGGTCGCTGTACTCCCTCTGACTCAGGTCCTCTGGGTCGATGCCATTGGCCCGCAGGAACTTCTGGTACGCCACACTGAAGGCCTGGCCAATGGACTGGGCTATGAGCTGGGCCTGGACAGAGTGGCATCAAACACACTGGATGAATACGGAAATGCACATATCACGTTGTACGTCATACAGTTCCTTCATACACACACTTGTGTCTGAGTCAAACAGATCATTTGTAAACACACTCAAGCACAACACACAAACACACTTACATCCTCAGACTCAAACACGTGGCAGACCATCCTGTACTGGCGGCGGTCGTCGCTGGCTGGGCTGTTGGTGTGGTCAGAGTGGTCAGTGGTATGGTTCAGATGTTCCTGAGCGCTCCTGGAGCGTACCATCTTCCCCCTGGCCATCAGCACCACCATGTTGCCTATGTCAGCGATGTATGAGATGGTCCTCAGATGCAGGTCCATCATGGACTCCTGCTAGAAACACAGGATAAGGACATGGTTATGTGGCTGTAGAGGGAAAGATAGGTTTTTGGCAGTATAGTATCTGGGTGTAGTTTAAGTGTGTATGTGGAGAGGTAAGTTTGATAACTGTGCCGTTCCACCAATTCGGTGCCAAAAAACATTTTCTCACCTAATTTTAACATTGTCATTAAGAGCACGTTCAACTTCATAAAAAAACATGTTACTATAGTAAGTGCCTATTAAGTGTCAAATAAAGTAACAGGGTTGACCATAACAGGGTTGACAATTTCATCTTAAATCAGCAATAAATCCCCTCGTGACAGGGGAAGATTGTTGTGTACAACAGGGAGGGGCAATTGAATGCAAAAAAAGGAAATTAAAACTTTTCTAGCCTGTCTATCTATGGGTAATAGTGTTGACGTGTTATGCTCGACCCACTCAGTTTTCTACCACAAAACACCAGAAAATGGACAAAGGGTAAAACCAGCTCACCTGCTTTAACACTATAATTTGACTATTAGATGTTCAATGTTTCTTTTGAAAAAATATTTTTAAAGGAATAGTTTCACCATATTAAAACGAGAGTTCAGTTCACATAACAGGGTTGACCTTAAAATGAGGGGCAGATGTAAATGAATCACTAAACAAGTGAAATAAATAATAATCTTCAGAAATTACTTTGTCAAAGCAATAAAATAATTAAGGCTTTACAATGATGGTGAAAACTTTGAGAAATGTTGGGCTTAAGTGGGTTAAGATCTTTCTAGAAGTCACAGAGGGTGCACGGAGGGACATGTCAAAATGCAGAATTTTGGCACAAGCATTTATTGAATTCTCCATGTGGTCTATATTAAAGCTCACTTCATTTAATATAACAGGCTTTTAACATTCAATATTAGTGCACAATTTCTACTTAAAATATCAAAAGGGACACACGCAAAAGGCACTCATTTCATGGAACGACCCAATTAGTGTTTGGATTACTAATACTATAGCGATTGTTTGGTACCTGTAACATAGTGTTTGCTATCCTTGAGTGAGTCCATGTAAAGGTCAGTCCTATACAGTATTTATTTACCTGAGCGTCTGCATTCAGCACTTTGATCCTCTGTGTAGACATGAAGAGATCCACTTCAGTGGAGGAAGGAATCTCACCCTCAGTCTGCACATTTAGGGAGATGAGAGCATAATTTCAACAACATAAGACATTCAAACAACCATAACAGACAAACAGTAAATATGACTTACTTATAATAATAAAGAAAGACACAGAACAGACAGTAGAAAAATATGATACAGCCATAGCACTGTCACTGTACCTTCTTTCTGTTTTTAGCTTGCTTTTGTGCGGCCTGCCATATGGAATAGCAAAATAAATAGAGAGAGAGAGACAGAGAGAGACAGAGAGACAGAGAGAGACAGAGAGAGACAGTGCTCCGTCAAAAACAGTAAGCTGCGGCAAGGGTATGGACGACACTCGATTGGCTCACAGAAGATTGGCCATCCCATTTGAGATATTATGGAGTATTAGGGCTGTGTGTTTGTGTGTGTGTGTGTGTGTGTGTGTGTGTGTGTGTGTGTGTGTGCGCGCACACGTGCCTTGTGTGGGCAGGTGGTGATTTTAGCTGTCTATCACATCTGACAAAAGTTACTGGCCCAGAGGTTATAAAGCAAACATCCTCAAAAGTTGCCCCTTTATCAATGTGACATTAACATCCCTCAAGAAACAAACAGACTGCATGTGTTAACAACATAGACTAACAGACAGATGCCCTAGGCATTCTTCAATGCTTCTTTATGGACATTAAATAATGTTATTTGGCAGATCTATCAATAGCTATTTAGTAAAAATGTAATGCACATAATTATATGAAACTAAGGACATGAGAATGATTATCTCTCAAAAATCTTACTGCCTGATCAGTGGTCACTTAAAAGATGGAAAAGTGAGGGAAGGAGAATTGAAAATGAGGGAAGAGTATTCGGTCCTAGCTGATATGACCCCTATGTGTGGCTCACCCTGACACGGCTCATAGCCTCCTGGGCCTGCTGCATGCGGGCAGTCTTAGTGGGAGTCCTCTCTGACAGCAGGTGGGTGGAGCCCAGGTAGCTGGCCGCAAAAACGATGCCATCGATCAGGTCCTCTGGGTCACATGGCCCTGGGACTGTGGACAAGACGGTCATTGAGGTTAGCTACAATCAATAGTCATCATAAATGACTTTTGATTTGAGTGAAAACTAAATCAAAAGTGAGTGAAAAAGAAAGTGAGCGAAAACATGCCACTGATGCCTAACTTTTTCCATCAAGTAATTGAAATGCATTTTATACCACAGCAAAGCTTCTACAAAAACACACTCCTTCTTCTTTCTCACTAATGATCCCCCAACCACTGAGACACTCACCTTCCACGTATGTAGGGAAGGCCGGCATATGCCTCTGGATCTGAAATGAAAATAGAATGGAATATTACTATTATATATCAGTAATGGTGATGGTGATGATGACAGTAACAGTAGAATAGCACTTCCTTAAACCTCAGTCATCTCTTTTCACAGTGGTGCATGTGACAGTGCAGAGCAGTCGCTTACCTCCTCAATGGATTGTATCCTAGGTGTCTCCCTCTGCTGAACCTGGTGTGTTCTGGAGGACTCTGCCCTCACAGGACAGACAGGCTCTGGGACTGGCACCGGAACTCGGACTGGGGCTGGAACTTGGGCTGGAACTGGGGTATAGTGTGAAGGAGACTGAGAGACAGGCTGTAGGACAGATTAAGAGATACATGAGATTAAACATCAGTTGATTTCTGGTGGCACATTTAAACAGATCAGAGTAGATAACATTATTACCACCGAGTTCACTCTTATCACTGATGCAATAATAGGACTAACGTCCATTCTACTCCACTATGTAAACATTTCAAAACAGTGATTTCTGTAGTGATCCAGAGCTGGCTCATACTCACACTCACATCGCCTCCCTGTGGCTGCTCTGGGGAGTTTTCGTCCTCAGTAGGACTGACCTCCGGTCTCATCACCCACACAGGCTCTGTGGGCTGGTCAGGAGTGTACGGCGATCGCACCGTCTTAGTCTTCACCTCCTCTATGGCCTCTCGGATGTCCTTGATGGCTAGAGAGATAGCATCCCCTGAACCTATGACACTGTCCTCTGAAAGGCCTTCCACTGGAGGTCGGCGCTCCATCCCGGCCTGCTCATCCTGGAACTCACCTGAACCAGGCTGCACAGAGCTGGGACGCTCTGACTGGGCTTCACCTTGCACGTTCCTGGGAGGTGGCCCCAGGCTTTGGGAGCTGGGGCTTTCTTTGAGGCTGTCGCCCTCCCCGTCAGACGTAGTGTCATCGTAGTGGTGCAGTCTTGAGCCGACTGAGCAACCCTGCCAATGGGGGCTGGTATGTGGTAGCCCCACATCCCTACCTGGCCAGGAGGCACGTGGCTGTGGATCAGTGTCTGGAGCTCCCTTATAAACATACTCCCTCTGCCTACGACTGTAGGGCTCTGGGTAGGGTTCTGAATATGGCTCATCAGATCTCCTGTGGGGCTCTCTGTCTGGATAATTAATCAATTTCAAGGGTTCAGGGAAGGACTGGGGGTAGGATTTTGCGTAGGGCTCTGTGTAGGATTCTGTGATAGATTCTGCCTGTGGGTAGGACTCATTATAAAATTCTGCATAGGTCTTAGGATACGAGTCGGTGAAAGTGAAGGATTTGGGGTGGGACAGTGGAGAATTAGCACAGCTCTCATCATCAGCCATTATGTAATTTTCGTAGATGGGGCTTGGGCTACACTCGTCACTACATTGGTCAGAGTTTTCAGACTGAAGTGGATGGGGCAAGAATGGGGATGGAGAGGTGGGTGGTGATTGGTAAGGAGGTGAACTCAAGGGTGGAGCCTCCATGCTTAGAGAGGCAGCACTCTCAGTGTCAGAACAGTGCTCATTTGTTCCATCTTCCTGGTCGTCCTCTCCCAGATCCCTCTCTCTTTTGTCTTCTTCTCCCAGACCTGTCTCTTTTAGGTCCCCCTCTCCATGGCCCCCCTCCCTCTGGTTCTCTAGGTCTGTCTGGTTGTCAAATCCACTTTGAGTACTAACAGACTGAGTTATGGATGAGCTGTACCCTTCCTCCTCTTCCTCCTCCTCTTCCTCCTCTGCATCCTCCTGAGGCTGGGGAGACTCTATGTTGGGAAGGGGCAGTGGCAGGTCTTGGGAAGGGGGATCAGGGGCAGGAGGACATGGTGTGTGGTGTGTGGGGGTAAGAGAGGTACCAGCAGTAATGTCAGGTGCTCCACTGTCCTGTGTGTGGTGGGGTGGACGAGTGTGTGGTGGGTGCTGCTGCTTCATTGTTGCGGGACCAGTCATGTCTCTCTGTTCAGTCAGGGGACCGCCAGATGACCGTTGCTGTTGAAACGGCGGGTCGTGGGTGTCTTGGACGTCTCTCAGCAGCGGTCTGTGAACTCTGACCCTGGGCTCTCCCTGGCGGTGGTAGCGGCCCACGCCAGAGCGGGGCGGCTGGGTGTGGCGAGGAGGCTCCATGTTTGCTCCCTCCCCCTGTCTGGACGGGCTCTGCCCTGAGGGAGTGCGCCTACGGTGCCGTGCGGGGCCGCGGCCCGAGCCTTGGTGCGGAATAGGAGGATGATGATGGTGGTGGTGATGATGGTGAGGATCCTGCCCGTCCTGACCGAGCATTTGGCAGGGTCTCCAACTTCTCCGGACAGTGACCCCCTCTCCTTCTCCTCCTCCTCCCCCCCCTCCTCCTGCTGTCCCATTGGGCTGCCAGTTTCTGTGAGCAGGTGAAGCCTTATGCTCCCCCACCACAGAATCACCTAGCCCCTCCCCCTTCTGCTTGTAGCTCATCACTCTGCTGTGGTCTGTTTATTTTTAGAACATGGTCCTTCCGTCTCCTAGGAAACACCACTCACAACACTGCCTGCAGGGAGAGAGGAAATGAATGTGAACAGATAGGTCATAGTTCAGGGGTTATGGGTGAAACAGCAGGATCAGGAAGGCATGTCTACAAACAGGAGATTGTGATTGTGAGAGTGAGAGAGCACCCCTGTGGTTATGAAGTAGATCTATGTATCACTCTCCCAATATCCATGTTAATGTCAATTCTATCCTCCATTTCGGTAAAAGGAAAATATTGAGATCTGCCAATCCCCCACACATCTACAAAGTACAAAGCACGCATGCACACACGCACACACACAAGATCCTGATAGATAAGCAGAGCTGCAGGGGCTCCCTCTACTCCAGGGTAAAACCTAAATCCCATGGGATTCATCTGGGTCTGTTTAATCTCAGGCATATTCTCCCTGCACCAGCAGCGGCACCACGCCACATCACAGCTGCTGGCAGATGGGACAAAGCCCTGACACCACCGACCTGAGAGAGAGGTCGGGCTAAATACCTAACTTTATGCTCAGTGTACAGAATACTGATGTCTGAACTCTAGATAGACTGTGCTGAATACTCAGCATCAATCAAATCAAATCAAATTGTATTTGTCACATGCGCCGAATACAACAGGTGTAGACCTTACAGTGAAATGATTACTTACAAGCCCTTAACCAATAGTGCAGTTTTAAGAAATAATACCTAAACAAATAAGAAACAAAAGTAACAAATATTTAAAGAGCATCAGTAAAATAACAATAGCGAGGCTATATACAGGGGGTACCGGAACCGAGTCAATGTGTGGGGGCACCAGTTAGTCGAGGTAATTGAGGTAATATGTACATGTAGGTAGAGTTATTAAAGTGACTATGCATAGATAATAAACAGAGAGTAGCAGCAGCGTAAAAGAGGGGGGCAATGCAAATAGTCTGGGTAGCCATTTGATTCCTCTGACACCACCTGGTATAGAGGTCCTGGATGGCAGGAAGCTTGGCCCAGTGATGTACTGGGCCGTACGCACTACCCTTTGTAGTGCGTTGCGGTCGGAGGCCGAGCAGTTGCCATACCAGGCAGTGATGCAACCAGTCAGGATGCTCTCGATGGTGCAGCTTTAGAACCGTCTGAGGATCTGAGGACCCATGCCAAATCTTTTCAGTCTCCTTAGGGGGAATAGGTTTTGTCGTGCCCTCTTCATGACTGTCTTGGTGTGCTTGGACCATGTTAGTGAGTTGGTGATGTGGACACCAAGGAACATGAAGCTCAACCTGCTCCACTACAGCCCTGTCGATGAGAATGGGGGCGTGCTCGGTCCTCTTCTTTTTCCTGTAGTCCACAATCATCTACTTTGTCTTGATCACGTTGAGGGAGAGGTTGTTGTCCTGGCACCATTTTTTACATTTTTTACATTTTTAGTCATTTAGCAGACGCTCTTATCCAGAGCGACTTACAGTTAGTGATTACATATTTTTTTTATACTGGCCCCCCGTGGGAATCGAACCCACAACCCTGGCGTTGCAAACGCCATGCTCTATCAACTGAGCTACATCCCTGCCGGCCATTCCCTCCCCTACCCTAGACGACGCTGGGCCAATTATGCGCCGCCCATGAGTCTCCCGGTCGCGGCCGGCTGCGACAGAGCCTGGATTCGAACCAGGATCTCTAGTGGCACAGTTAGCACTGCGATGCAGTGCCTTAGACCACTGCGCCACTCAGGAGTTCACCACATGGCCAGGTCTCTGACCTCCTCCCTATAGGCTCTCGTCGTTGTCGGTGATCAGGCCTGTGAATGGGCCTGACTTCACAGTATCGTATAGGATCAGTTTTCAAAATTGTGCACAGTATTGCAGGTACAGTATTTTGTAGCTTTAAGAGCTATAGCCTATTGTACTGTATGAATTAGTGGCTGAAATGCAAATTCGATGGATACAGAAAGCAGAGAGTGTACAGATTTAATAAAGGCTGGATATCTGACTGGAGACTAGGGGCAGAGGTTAATGCAGTACCTCAGACTGAAAGTCATCTGACAGAGAGGAGACGTGAGGAGGACAAAGAGTGTAGATTTTTGGGGCGAGGTTGTCGGGAGAGGTCGTGTTTTTCTCTGGCTGGAGGTAAGCAGGAGGTAAGCTACATGTAGTGTTGAGTAAAGCTTAACCATGTGTTAGATCGTAGGTAGGTAGTTAGCTGTAGTTAAGTATTGTATTTATTGTAGGTTAGTATTGTTGTTATTGTAGGTTTCCGTGGGTAATTGTGGGTTAGTATCGAGGCACGAGGCTAGCTAGCTAGCGGGTAGCTACTGGTAACGATTAGCAACGCTGGAGAGCTGGTTCCAATGGTAATGTAGTCCTAGCCAACGTTTAACTTTTGCTTAACCATGTATTAGATCGTAGGTAGGTAGTTAGCTGTAGTTAGGTATTGTATTTACTGTAGGTTAGTATTGTTGTTATTGTAGGTTTCCGTGGGTAATTGTGGGTTGGTATCGAGGCACGAGGCTAGCTAGCTAGCGGGTAGCTACAGGTAACGATTAGCAACGCTGGAGAGCTGGTTCCAATGGTAATGTAGTCCTAGCCAACGTTTAACTTTTGCTTAACCATGTATTAGATCGTAGGTAGGTAGTTAGCTGTAGTTAGGTATTGTATTTATTGTAGGTTGGTGTTGTTGTTATTGTAGGTTTCCTTGGGTAGTTGTAGGTTAGTATCGAGGCACGAGGCTAGCTAGCTAGCGGGTAGCTACTGGTAACGATTAGCAACGCTGGAGAGCTGGTTCCAACGTTTAATTTTTTATTTTATTTTTTGCTGCGTTGTGAAGGGAACTCGACACGGACTTGAATTGTCTGTTTGGTGTGCTGACACACTCTTGGCAGTTTGTTGTGGCCAGGTGTTGATGCTAAGTTGTGTGTTAATGGATGCTAGCTTGCAGGTTGGCTACGGCGTCATAGCTAGGCTTCGTGGGTTGTTGTGGGTAGTTACTGTGTCTTGGCAGTGTCCTCGGCCGTGCCGGCTGTAGCACGAAGCTAGCTAGCTAGCCGTTCTTCAAACAGAGTCAACACAGTGGCCATTGCTAGCTACCCAACATGACCAGCTGGCTGTACTGTAGTAGCTAACCACAATATACTTGTCCTAGCTAGCCAACGTCTAATCATTGCTGCGTCATGAAAGGAACTTGACACAGACACGAATGATCTGTTTAGTGTGTTATCACATTATTGGTGGTTTGTTGTGACCAAGTGTTGGTGCTAAACGGTGTGTTATTGTTATTGGATGCTAGTCTGCTAGTTGGCTATGGTGTCATAGTTGGCTAGCTGAACAAAGTGGGTTGAGTCTATTCCTTTAAACATTGAACCGCTGTGGTTCACAACAATTCTGATTTCCAAAGGCGGAAGTTGGGAGAGTTTTTTGTTCGGGTGGTTCAGTGAAACAATTTTAGTTTCTGAGGTAGAAGTTTTTGGTGAGGGAGGCCCTGCTCTCTCCGCTCCCAGATGCTTAGTCCATTTCATTCCGATCTCCTCTGCATTTTTGTAGCCATTTGCTACAGCCTGTCAACTATGCCTCTGCCTATCCCTGTT